CCTGTCAAACCCCCTAAATTGCTTTTTGTTATAGAATAAAACATGTAATTGAAATATGATATTCAATATTCCAAATACTAATTGTAACAAAAAAATGAATTCCAAATACTAATCCTGAACATACTATCAAAGACAGAAGACATTTGTAAAAGGCAATGGAATATCGTGAACATTTGCTTAGCTGGAAACGATCGATTTAGGAATTAATGTGCACAACCAATGAAGTTGTGGCATGCACGCATAATATTAGAATGACAAACCTTTTTTTTACTCTAACTTTCTTTAAGTTCGAAATTTGGAATACAGTGCTTTTTCCTTCTAAACAATTTTCACCTCAAAGAAAAGGTAGAAAGTGTTGTGCATACAGCAAAAGAAATGCTTTTATTAATTGATTTTTTTTATTTAGAACAAATGCTTTTAGTTTTTTATCAAAAGGAGCTCCACTTTTAGCAGGAAGTGACTTATTTGGAAGCGATAAGTAGATTGATTGCTTTCATTAGTCGATTAACTCATATCTTGCACAAAGTTATTGTATGATAAATCATATGAATATTTTATATTTATTTTTTATTTGAATTATATCCGTTGGCAAAGAAGATAATATCCGTTAATTTTGTAGTATTTGAAATTAAAAGATTGATAACATCAATAAGGTTTGAACATAATAATATAATGTACCAGAAAAGAAACAAAGATAAAAAAATTTGAAGTTTATAGATCGAGTAATGTTGTTGGAAACAACAGTCATAAAATTAAAATGGTTTTTAAAAAATGAGTATTAGCTGAGCATTTTCTTCACATTTTAGGATTCAATATATTAATATTTATACTCTTGATTTCTCCTATAATAATTTGGAAGATACATTTATAACGTCCATTCATAAAGTGCTTGATACATTTCTGTTTCTCTTTGTAAAGAGAGGTGCAACTTTAATATTGATCAAACCTTCAAAGAGTAGTGTGTTTAAAGTTGTGAGTGTGATATAATCATGATATCTTCATTTTCTTTGGAATTGGAAAAGACTATTATCAAACACAATTTGGGCCTTCACTACCTCGAGTTAAACAGATATCCCATCACAACTACTGCTATAGCAATAAAAACTAGGGAAAAATCCAATTCTTTCTCAGAATTTTTGGTCATTTATAATTTGGTTTTGTACGTGTTGAAACTCTTTATAATAATGTTTAACCACGTTTTAACATAAAAACTATAATTTGTAAGTGGTAATGAATAACGTCATTCCAAACACGTCAATAAATTTTTAAAAATACAGATCCTTCATTGAATTTTTTAGAAGTTGTTACATGATTCTCCCATAAGACTCTCGTTATACATAATCTAATGGAGGAAAGTATTCTCTCTTAGGTGTGCATTTTAGGTAATTAAGTGATATATCTACCCCATCATGTAATCATCTTGTGCTAACACTGTCTAATAAGTGATGTACATTACAAAACAAAGGGTTCATATAGATGACTTGAAATATTTAGTGAGCTTTTGGGGAGTTACATATGGTGATCACGTGATTTAAAACATTCCTATAATGTTGAAATGTGTTGAGCTGTTATTCGGAAATAGGCAATACATTATGCATAAAATTATTGTACTTCTAATTAATGATGATATTCTTTAGTAAAGTATGAGGCGTATTACATTTTAAGCACCTCATTATTTTTTCAATCTTTCACAATTTCAGTATAAAATGTAAAAACAGTTCCTGTTTTATTTTAAAACAGCAACACAGACTCAGAACTTTATCAAAGTTTAACAAAAGTTCCTTTATTATCAACATTTGCCGATCAAAAATGAAAAAATCGAAGCACAGACACAGAACCTTATCTTAGTTTTACGAAAATTAATTCCTTCTAGACTTATTTTGCATAAAATTCTGTTATTCTTTTTCGATAATAGAAAAATTTATCTTATCTAAAACGATGGAATCAAACCCTCCATTGAGAACCAATACCTATTCTCCTTAAGTAACGTGTCAATTTTAAGTTTGTAATATTGCAGCTGAATTCATTTAACTCGATTCAATTTGTAACTTACGAATACAGATGAAATAATACCGAAAAACCTATTGAAAGAAGAGTCATGACTGTAGTTGTCAAAATGATTACCTATTTCAGAAGTTTGTGTGTTCAATGTTTATTATCTACCCATGAAAATATGGGAGATTTATGGTTAATTAGGTACCAATTCAGTGAGTTGATTCGCATGGGCTTTGATAGGAGAAAGCCTTTAGCAACCCTCAAAGGTTTCCGCTACTACATATTTCAGCCAAATGAATGTCCAGTAATATGAAGGAATGGAACTTTATGTGACATGCTGAAAGCTTTATTGTTGTTGTTGTAACTGCTATAATACAACTTCAAATTCAAATGGCATTCACATTTTCCTAATGCTAAATGTGGTTTATTTGCTATTAGCGTTTACTTCAAGATACAACAGATTTAATGTATATATTTTTGACTTCTTTCTAGGTTAATATTTTTCATTCTGTTATCTATTAGACAGTGACGGCTCTCTCTACTCATTTAATTTTGCTTTGCTTTTTCTTCATTAATCACCATGTCCTCAGTTTCAATGTTCTGCAAAGTATTCTTTTCAAGCCACTGTGCCCTCTTAATTATTCTCCCTTCTCTCTTTCTAACATCAAGAACTATATATCAGTGAAAATCTGGTATAACATAATATATATATATATTAATTCCAGTTCCTAAAGGTCGTAATGGTTATGCATCACAATTAATCCTGATGGAACTGTCTCTCCAACCATATTAAGAATAATTAAGTTATATTATTCATACAACAATTTTTATTTTTGTTTTTACAAATGTGCACAAACACAGATAGATGCAAACTACTTTATAAGTGAATGTAATTCACATCTTCTATGCACATTTTTAAAACTGTATAAGCGATCAAAATTAAATGGCTATAACTAAACCATTAATTGGCGAATAGCCAAAACAAGAAACAAAGTTCAATTTTCTGGCTGAACCAATAATGTTAATTTGAGACCATGTAATTACTTTTTAATCTTTCAAGCTTTCTGGGAACTTGGTGCCTTTAAAGCCAAAACCGCCAATGTTGCTACGTATTGAGGGATGACAAAACAAGATACGAGGAACAGGACTGAAACCTTAGGTAACCGACAGAAGTACTCCAACAACTCCACATTGATGACTTTATTGCAATGTGGTGTCGTGGAAGCCTCTGTGGGTTACTCAAGGTTTTCTCCTTTCAAATCCCTTGCATGCACAAGCTATAGCGATGCTAAGATTATGAACAAAGAATACGTATTTATATACAATGATTAAATTAAAGATTGATTCTTATTTGAAACAGGACAGCAATCAACATTCCCATTATTTCTCTGCTTAGTGTTTGATTCACCAAATTTTAGATAAGGTTACTTTTTGGATGTTAGAACTTATTCCTTGTGAATTTGCCCCTTGCAGTCAGTTTCTCAGTGCCCTAATTAATTGAGATATTGCTTTTGATAAATAAAAGTAATTGCTTCATTTTTTTTCGTAAAAAGTAAATTCTAAGTTGTTCTACAAAATGAGAGAGTATTTTATGTTCTTGTTACGTGAAACAATCATAATAATTAATTTTAATAATAGAATTAGTGATGTATTTGAAAAAGACATAAATATTTTTTAATATTTTAATATAAAGTAGAGAAAGTATTACATTTTTCTCAAGTTTAGAAATACTGTAATAAAATCTTATACTAAATTAAAATTATTTAATATTTTCAAATAAAACAAAAATATTTGTTGCAAAAGATGTTATTCATTAGTGCGTTGACATTCTAATATGCAGCATAGAATATAATCAGCACAGCATCGTATGAGACATCACTCCCGGCCATGGGTTGACTCTTTCTTTTTGATGCAGAACAAGTTATCAAGAACAGAACAAAATACTATATTCTTAATTGGTTTTCGATCCGAGTTCCCAGAATTCAATATATGGACGTGTCGATCATTTTTAAGTTCCTCGTCGTTAATTCTATGAATCCTTCTATATTTTTTACCAATGTTAATTCATATAGTAACCAATGATATCAAAAATAAAAGTATCTTTATTTTTTAATTTGTTAAATAAAAACAATACTCACACGATTTTCAATGATGGTGATTGAATTGTGAATACTCTCTTCGGCATTATTCAAAGCATGATCAAAGACTTGTTAAGCTGTCCATTGTGAAATTAAATCATTAGTAATTGTGATTTAATTTTAAACAAAATCACGTAAAATTAATTTTAATGAAAAAAAATCACAAATTCTTCTTCAAATGTAATGGATAGGATCGGTTCAAATGTCTGGTAATGAGGAGATTGATTTTGAGTGATAAAAATTTCCAGTGGCAGTGCAAACCACCTTTTCTAAATAACAATTGCTACTTATCAATAATTGTGCATTGAAAATTAGTTGACGTGAAAAGTATAATAATAGGCGCGGTTGCTTAATTAGACGACCATTACTTAACAAAAATTAAGAGACCTAACAACAAAATCTAAAATTAAAATAAATGCTGATAATATATAAAAATATGAAAAATTTTAAATAGTAAAAGGTCAAAAGAAAAGTTAAGAGTTTTACATTAAAAACATTCATAGGATAACTAATCTGCAGGCGACAGAAAAGATTTAAAAAAAATGATAATTGCATACATTCGTGACTAATCGAAATATTAATTTTATTAATTTATTATTATATGTAATTATCCTATAAACAAAAGGGATAAAAATGATAAATAATTGTGTCCAATAAGGGCATGTAAACGAGAACGGATGTGTCCAACTGCAGCCGATCAATGTATTCTGTGTGTTAGGCATTGCAACTTCGAACTCTCAGCCCTCACAACCCAACTGTCACCAAACATGCACATCACATTCTGTCTATGTTTTACTTTTACTTTTTATTTTTAGCCGCCAAAAAACCACACATTCTCAGACATCGTTGGAACGAAAGAATGAATGAATGTCTAACCTCAAAGTCATCAAAACCCTTCTCCTCTCTCTCTCTCTCATCATCATCACCAATGCCACTCACAACGAGGATGCACACTTCATGTTGGAACTCCGCGAACTCTTCAGCACGGACGAACGCTCCTCCCTCAACGCCTCCTTCTGCTCGTGGAGAGGCATATCATGCGACAACTCCAACCGTGTCACCTCCATCGACCTTCCTTTAAGAGCCCTCACAGGAAACCTCCCTCCAAACCTCAACTCTCTCTCTCAACTTACCTACCTCGATCTCACCGGCAACAATCTCTTTGGCAATCTCCCCTCTCTCGCCAACCTCTCCATGCTCCAAACGGCTTACCTTTGTTCCAACGGCTTCACTTTCATCCCTCCAGGTTCCTTCCAAGGCCTTACCAGCTTGCAAAAGCTAGGCCTCAGAAACAACATCAATCTCCAACCCTGGTACTTTCCAACCGATTTGAATCAGTCTTCGAATCTACAAATTCTCGATCTTTCTCTTACAAACATGATGGGTCCTTTGCCTGACATATTCCACTCATTTCCCAATTTGCATACCCTTCTACTCTCTACCAACAATATCACCGGGGTCTTGCCTAAGTCCTTTGCACATTCTCGAATTTCTGATTTGCAACTCGACAACCAGAAGTTTGGCATGTCGGGTAATCTTGAGGTGCTTTCGCGCATGAACAACTTGTCCAAGGTGTTGCTGCAGAAAAATAAATTCCGGGGTTGTATTCCTGATTTGGCCAATTGCACCTATTTGTCTGAACTGCATCTTAGCTACAATGAGTTAACTGGTGTGGTTCCTCCTTCCTTGATGCGTCTTCGTTACTTGAACTTCGTGTTTTTGGACCACAACATGCTGCAGGGTCAGTATCCTGTGTTTAAGGATGGTGTGGAGGACACTCATCAGTGGAATAACTTTTGCAAAGAGTTCGATCATAATAGAACTTGCGATCACCGGGTTACCCTTTTTCTTGAAATTGCTTCTGCGTTTGGGTATCCGATAAAGCTTTCAAAGTCGTGGAAAGGGAACGATCCTTGTCAAAAGTGGGGTTTTGTTGAGTGTGATGGAAAGGGTAAGATTGTTAAAGTCAATTTAGCCAACCAGAGGTTGAAGGGAAGAATCTCAAACGCATTTGCCAATTTGACAGATTTAACGACACTGAATCTCAGTGGTAATCATTTGTATGGTTCCATACCACAGAGGTTGACAAATTTGCCTCAGCTTGAGTCCTTCGATATCTCCAACAACAATCTATCTGGAGAGGTTCCTCCATTTTCATCAAAGGTGCAGGTAAATGCTGCTGGCAATGCTTGGCTTCGGAATTCTAGTTCTTCCGGAGGCGGTGGGGAAGGAGTGACACCAAATGGAAATTCACCTACATATAATGTTGATAATAGTACTTCACATTCACTGCTTCGTTCGATTGCATTTGCAGGTATATAGTTCATAGCCGTTGCTGCTATATGTTTCGTTGCTCTAGCTGGTGTTAATTGTCTTCAGTCATTAGCTATGAGGATATATTGTAGCTTTTTCTAGCATCAATTCTTTAACGGTTCTAAAAAAAAGAAAAGTTAGTGTCTATCTACACAGAAATTAACTTTAAAAAGTTAATTTTTTTAGTAGTTAAATGTGACTACCGCTTATAAAGTATCAATATTTTAAAAAATAAATAAAGTGATTTTTTAGCAAGTCATTATGTAAATCACTAAAAAGAATCATCTTTCTTAATTATTTATTTAAGTAACTACTAAAAAGAGTCATTCTTAGCAATTATCAATAAATTGCTAAGAAAGGTGTTTAATTTAAAACTCCTCTCCCCTCTTTTTCGTGGCACTTTGCTATTTGTACTTCTATTCTCACTATTATTAGCAATTACTTCTTTGTTTGTTAAAATATTCTTAACGTGACTTATTAACATATATATTCTTTTTCTTGAACTAGTTAACATACCTTTTTAAAAAAAAAAAAAAAGAATAATACATTATCATCCTTCAAATTTAACAAGTGCTTCTATTGTAAGTTAATTTTTCTCACCGTAATATAGTTTTAATATAAAATGCGTTACTAAAATTAATTTGAGCATGTATCTCAAATAATTCAGTAATTCAAAATTTATCTTTCATCATTATAATTTGCATTTACACAGGTGCTGCGGGTGGTGCTGGAATCGCTGTAACCTGTGTTATGATATTTTTTTACTCTAAGGAGTGTCTTAGCTTAGCAGAAAGGAGAATCTGGAAGAAAACAAGGACAGGTCATGACCACAACATTGAGGACTTAATAAGTACTTATTGTTCTTTGGGGCCAAAGCGATATAGTTTTTCAGATGTAAAAAGGATGACAAACTCATTCCGACATAAACTAGGCCACGGAGGATATGGTGTTGTGTACAAAGCAAGCTTACCTGATGGTTGTCTTGTAGCAGTAAAAGTACTGAATGAGACAAAGGGAAGTGGAGAAGAATTCATAAATGAAGTCACCAGCATTAGTAAAACATCACATGTCAACATTGTCTCGCTTTTGGGATTTTGTTATGAGGGGAACAAAAGAGCTCTCATCTATGAATTCATGGCCAATGGCTCATTAGATAAGTTCATAAATAAAAAGGGATCTCCAAACGCTATGAGTAATTTGGATTGGAGCACATTGTACAGCATTGCAATTGGTGTTGCTCGAGGACTACAATACTTGCACCAAGGATGTAATACAAGGATTCTGCATCTAGATATTAAACCTCAAAATATTCTTTTGAATGAAGATTTTAGTCCAAAAATATCTGATTTTGGACTTGCTAAAATATGCAAAAAGAAAGAGAGCATTGTGTCCTTATTGGGGACAAGAGGAACTCCAGGATATATTGCACCAGAAGTATTTTGCCGAACATATGGTAAAGTTTCTCACAAATCTGATGTATACAGCTATGGCATGTTGATTCTTGAAATGGTTGGAGGAAAGAAGAATGGCGATAGTGGCGGGTCAGTTACCACTCAAATGTATTTCCCAGATTGGATCTATAAGGATCTTGGGGAAGGTAATGTTCATGCAAACAATTTGAACAACACAGATGAAGAAAATGATATAGTAAGGAAAATTACTTTGGTGAGTTTATGGTGCATTCAACCAAACCCATTAATTAGGCCACCAATTAGTAAAGTATTAGAGATGTTAGAGGGACCATTGCAATCAGTGCCGCTACCTCCAAAGCCTATCTTGTGTTCTCCTGACAGACTACCATTCCAATTTTCCAAAATATCCTCTACAACTTTGTATGACACAAATTCAGTAACCACGTAAGAAGGTGAATGTGATTGTTATGTCTTTGTAGAAACCAATTAATGCAAGGAATAGATGTCTTTGTAGATCTGTGAATTTTCTTTTAGCCTACAATTAATTACGATAATGCTCACATGAACCTAATATCTTAAAAGTTTTAAGCAGCTAAGAATACAATACTAATCAGTCAAACCAAACTAATTAATACTTAATTTCCCCTTAAGTTTATTCAAGCATACCTCCTCGGTTTTTCAGGTCGATGTGGAAGTATAGATGCAATTAAATGTTATATGTTATTTTAAAAAGGAAAAAAGACAAACTTCTACCGAGATGAAGGCACTAACAACGTTCCATGATGCACAATTGAAAGATTGTCATTATTGGTGTGACATCATGATACAGAAATATTATTATAGTATTAATATTGTTCTTTTTTTTCATTATTTTTTAATATTTATTTATTCAAATAATGTATGTTTTTATTGTTTTTCAATTTATATATATGACGTTCGAGAATTTTAGGTACCAAGTTGGTGTAAAACTTTTGTTAGATATAAATCATAGGTATTGTAGGAATGCTTGATTAACTTTCACGTCAAGGGATAAGTAATGAGACAGAAAATACAAAGCAATCAATATTTATTTTCAGGTACAAAAGAACAACTTATGAAGGAGATACAATGGGAGTCGAAAGTTATAAGGGGAGAGTAAATAAAAACAATATTCTTTCTATTTCTCCCTCTTTATTTTTCTCTGATCAATAATTTATCTGATAAATTAAACCAAATAAAATAGTATATTCTTTCTCATTTCTTGCGCACACTTGTCATTGTTTGCTTTTGCAATAAAGCCAAATAAAGTGGAATAGATAAGTTTATCTTTGATCAATGATAATATATATATAGTTGTAAGTATATATATTATCATTTGATTTATTAAAAGTGGACATACGGGGCGGATTGTTTCTCTGACAAAGCATGATAATTGATTTGAGCTAATTGACTTTTTACATACACATAATATTTAAAAAAATTTAATCACCAAGTCATCAAACAGCCATATGAGTTTTGTCCCGTAATTTGATCTCATGATCAGGCTCCATTTCTACAAACAAAAATATGACTATAAACTATTTTATAGTATTGTGCAACCTGATTTTCCCTGTGTGTTGGTCTTTGCCTCGAAGGTAGTTTGTTTGTGAGAAAGCTCCTTGTTCGGTCGTTCCTTAGTTTTAAACGGAAGCTAGAAGACTGAGTATTTCCAAAGATTTTTCAGTAACAACTCTTACAATATTCGAAAGTTACATTTCCGAAAATGTGCTCCTTAATTTCAGGTTGAGGCTCTCAGGTTGAGGAAATACTTTGTTCATTAATTTAATAATTGAGATTGCCGATTACTAGTGACATGAAATTATTGGGTCCTTTCGAATTGAAAATTAATTATCTAAGGTTACGGTTATATTTAGGGTCCTGCTTCTACTCTGTATAACAAAAACTTGTATCTCTAATATTCATCAATGGTCATTCCCTTGCATTTGTATTGTAGTCATTCAGTTGCATCTGCATTAGTTCGAAGTTTAGTGCATAAATGCAAAGTTATCGTAGAATAAGAGAAAGAAGGCGACACGATGAATTTACCTTCGAAGAGAATACTTATATAATATTGCAAAACTACCAATTTTTTTAATTTGTGATGATGTTATAAAGAAAATAAATTTAATAACAAATGCATTAAATATAATACAATTTTACTTCTGTTCTTACGCGCTTTGCTCTAAACCTGTTGTGGTTGCTGTTGACCAGCTAGCCTTGCCTTGCCGCCCCCAACACTTGCTCTTGTCATACTTAACGCCTAACTTACACAGAATAAACAACAATAATAAAAAAAATTAACTATTTTTACATTGCATCATTCTGATTATATCATTATACTTGAAAATAAAGCTTTTTTACATGTTCTAGTTGTATAATGTTTCTTGTAGTGAGAAAGAACATTTGAGTCGATGTAGTAGAGCTTCCGAAAATGTAACTTCTGGATATTACAAGGTTGTTATTAAACATTAATTAAGGCTAATTTTGAAAATAAAATTTACAAAAAACAAATCATAATTTGAATCATTAAAACAATTAAAAGAATGCTTAATTTTATCACTAAGAGAAAAGCAAAAAAACGAAATTTTTAACTGCCGGCCGGTACAAAGAAATTGTCCATATGAGACCATGTTGCACATTTTTTTTTAATGCAATGATGTAAGTACTATTACGATACACGACGATATGTATGATTATGATATAGTGAATAAAATTAAAAACAAAATTTAGGTGCAAATTTTTAGGTATATTTTAATATTGTTTATTTGTTAAAAACATTTAGTGTTGAGTTATTAACAATATCAAAAGTATTTAAGAACCCACATCTAAGTTTTATCTTAAAATTATAACAGAAATCATTAGTTACTGTGATATTTTATTAATATTGAAATAAAAGAAATAAAAAAAATATGAAAAATACAGTTAAAAGGTAGTAAGAATGAAGTTAATGTGTTTGTACTATCGTGAAGTGTTTGTACTTTGTATGCTCTAAAAAGAAAAAGATTAAATGGTTCACATAAAAAAAAAAGCTGAATATAAGAAACTTCAAGAAAATAATGAAGAGAGGATGAAAATAAATAAGCTCAATTTGATGAACTAAGGTGTTTAACTCAGTGATTACACTAAACCGAAGATAATACAGGATTAAAGGCTTCGGTGAACCCCCAAAGTACTTCCGCGACTCCCTAATTATTTCTAATCAATGATTGATTTGATATAACATAGTGTCTTGGAAGCCTCTGAGGGTTACTAAAGGCTTTGTCCTTTCAAATATTATCCCATAAACAAAGCCACTTCTAAGCCTAAGATAAGGAATGAGCAATACCTATTTATATACAGCTGATGAATATATTGATTCTTTCTCGTCCCACAATTAATTCAAATAATTAAGACAGCTAACATGCAAATGTTTTTTCTTAGATTAGTGTTTGATTCACCGAATTTTAGATAAGGCTACTTTATTGATCACGAATTAATGGTTAGAATTTGTTCCTGGTGAACTTGCTTGTTCCAATATACAGTGCCAGTTGTTTACTTTACTTTTGTCATATTATAAGAAAAATCTTGACATACGTAGAGCAAAATTTGAAAATCAATATTTTTCACTGAATCACCTGTGTGTTTGTCTTTGTTATATATGCTCAATGATATTTCTTGTCTTGTACACGATTGATGTGCCTTCATTGTGCTTAGCCAGGTATGGCCAGTGAGATTGTGAGAATATAATTTCTTTCCAGGTATATATATTTTTTAATTTAATTTTTTCTTTGTTGTTCACTGTTATTATCTCTATTGTAATTATAAAAATTGTTATAAGAAAATTATATGAAGAAAAATTCTCAAAAGAATAGGAAAAATGTTCCAATGTGCCATGCAAGTGTAGTGAGCTAATTAAGAACCCATGCTTACCTTTTTCCCTCAACCTCATTACGTGATGCTACATCAACCTTGCCCGTTTAAAATGCTCCCCTCTCACTCTCGAAGACTGGGAAGAGACTACTGATTATTTGTTTTCCATTTCTTGTTGCAACCTACTCATCCATGAAGCAATTAATTTCATCATTTAGATTTCAACTTAGTCAACTTCATGAAGCAAATATAATAATAGTATTTAGAAGACTTCCGAGAGTGGAACAAAACATAGTATATGAATTTTATTTTATATTTAATTGGTGCAGTGAAAAACTGAAAAGGATATGAAGTTTAAAAAAAATATTTTTTTTAATAATTCCACTAAAAAAAGCGTTTCATTCTATTCTGTACGCACCAAATGTTAGCTATCTATGATTTAAAATGCATGATGCATGAAACTACTAAGATTCGGTATTGAGCACAGATTATGCAGGCATTCCATCTGCAAAAATATCTCTAATTTATGTATTCTTCATATATATGGATTTCAAAGACACAAAATGAAGAAATGTGACTTTGAAAAATGCTATTTAGTGCGTTGACATTCTGGTATGCAGTGACAGTATCCAAAAACAGATCGAGCATCGCTTTGGATTTGTGACTGTTTCAATGTGGAATAAGTTATCAATCATAAAACTGCACATATTATAATTTGTGTGAAAAATAGAATCAAATTGAACCAGAAACACTCCTAATTGTTACGGTGGGTATTACGGTAAACTTAATTTTTATTGGAGACTCTTCTTTTATAAAGAAAATCTTGAAAAAATTGTATATAAAAGGACTGTTTATGTAAAATATTAACTCCTAAATTTCTATCCTTTAATAAAGCAATTTCCAGAAAGATTTAATTCGAAGTGGGAGTTGCCTGAACTAAAGCTTCAATGACTCATCACAATATTTCTAAGTGGAATACAAACGTTAATTTTTATTTATTCCTCCGTTTTATATATATTTTCATTGATTACATATAGTGACATAAAGATAAGATATATAAAAGATGGAAAATAAAAGCAAATGCAAACATGGAGAACCGAATAAGATTCGAGTTCACCTTCTTCTGAGAGCAATGGCCAACCATATTTGTCTATAAATAGGAACCAATTATCTTTCACTAATTAAAATCACACGTAGTGAAGTGTTGTTGATAGAAGAACTCTTCGTGTTCCCTCAAAGGCTTCCAGTATTCAGCCATAACTTAGTTTACTTGAATGCTGGATGTCTTTGAAGGAACTTGAAAGCTTACTTCTAAATGTATGATAAAATATTCAGAACCGGTCACTTCATATCTTCAAAGCGTTCTTTATGCAAATGCATATATTGTCAAAGCTGAGTAATTCAGTTTTTCAATTTCTACTTGGATGAATATTAATTGTTGTATGACTTTATGATTTTGGTTTCGAATTATCAAAAGGGCATCACACAGGCCTTGAGCAGTCCCATCCGCTTAATTAGTTTTTTGATTTTTAACATATATTTCTCAGTAACTCACATATTTTAATAAAAAATTACTAGTTAAAAAGGTTAATAGAAAGATGGCATATATTTTGAATAACAATGATATACCTACGTACGATGGTTTGTTATTCCAGAAAAAAATTTGCTCTTAATGCAAGAGGTTCAATTAAATTATAAAGTCATTATTGTGAATAAGTTACTTCTATACTTCTAATGTTTCTTAATTAGGACCTTAAGTTAGAGAAAGTATTTAATCTATTTAAGTTTAATCAAGGTTTAGTTGAAAGTTAAAACATAGCTGATATTTCACTTAGTGATTGAGTGATATGTCTGTGTTAACACATTCAAATTTCAATTTTAACACAAAAAAAAAAAAAAAAAAAAGGCGAAGTTTTTCTACACTAGAAGTTATCAAGACCTAACGTCACGGCAAAATGAAAGAAGACTCAATAATTTTAGCAATATACATCACTAAAAGTTTAGTATTGATACATTAATAGGTAACTTTAGTATTTAGAAAGAAAGAGTTATATTTAAACCATTTTTAATTATTTAAAATATGTCTAATACATTTTGAGTACGCAAATTTAGTAATTAATTTTGTATCATAAAGAATAAAAATAAAATACATAATTTTTTTATTTTTTTATAATATATATACTACTAAAAAATCAAATATTTTATACTTAGGGTTTCAAATATGGCTGCACCAGCCCTGCTGTATGCTTTAATTAGAGACGAAAATTGGGAGAATAAAATAGGGAATAAGAGTAGCAAGTGCCAGAGGCACAAATCTCTTACTGTAAAATATTAACCTGTTTTTCACTAATTGTAAATCTGCCCCAATAACTCAATACATGAAAATAAGTTTCCTATACAAAAGCAATCATATGCCAAGCAACCCTAAATAGGCTGCAAAGAATGAAATTATGGGAGTAACATAGAGAGTACAAACTCCCAGCATGAAAAAAATTAGATAGAACAAAAATTCAGAATGCAAAGCATCAAAATAGAAAGAGTTAAGCTCTTTGCAGTACCAAACATCTTAATTGGATACAAATTTCTCAACCTGTAAACAAAAAACATAAGAGATGGGTCATTATAAAATACATCATTTTCTTAAAATCCTACCATAAGATCTACTATTTTTGAATAGATTTTTCGCAGATGAATGAAATTATATAGAAGTCTTTCAATCATTTAGTGATGATAGAATATTTTCCATCTGTTGACACTGGATCAGATTAATTTTCATGCTCAATTTTTTTTTCAGATGAATGCATCCAACAGATTAGTTAATTGCTTTAGATATTCAAACAGATATATTTGTAATAGAAACTATATATTTACCTCATGATAATATGACTAGTCCAAGGTACAAAGACGCGCAAAGAAACGCAAATGATATCATACCCCTGAAAGTGGAATGAATTAAGAGAGAAATATTAATGACAAGTAATTAACAAAAAATATAGGGCATAATTAATTCAGTTTATTCCCCCCCAGTGGTAAGGCATATATTAACTTTGTGCTGCTATTATTTAACCATCTTAAAATCAATTTTTGTGAAGCGTGGCAAAATGAAAACAAGCTAAACAAACAAAGAATTATTATTTATCAGAGTATAAATTATTACAAAAATATTCACAATTTCAACCCTATGTAACCAATAAATTTTGGCCCAAAGTAAAAGAATCATCTTTGCATTCAAGTGTGTTTCCTTATAGCAAAACTCACCAAATAACTCCCCATCCTACACCATTACAAGGACATGGACAAACTTCTGCAAACTTTTCAGCATCACTAGAGTGGACTCTTCGAGATATTAAATCATCATAAATATCTACATGATATAAATTTTAATCCATATGATAATGATATCAAAAGATTTGTTATCCAAAGTCAAAAAAAAAAAAAAAACATATAAAAGGAGCTTAAAAGCATACCATAAACTGAAAACAAACTGTTCATCACACCTGAAAAGCCGAATCATAATTAGTTGCCTATATATTTCAGAAGAAATGACAAAACTGCCTACCAGAAGCAAATTCAAATAATTTATAGAAAATGGATGAAGAGGAACACAGTCAACATACCAATAAACAGAATGACATAGCGAAGGATGTGGACTTTTGTTTTCTCTTGCAGAAGCCAAATTACAGCAATAAAAACAATAAATCCTGATATTCATTGATCGAGAAGAATGATGTGAAAAACCTCGTCAATATCTTTGCTTTTTATTTGAGAAGATCATAAAATAACTCACCGATACAGAGTCCTCGGAGTGTCCACTTTATGGACAAAAGCATGTAGCAAGATAGAGGAAAAGGGAAGTCAGGACACAAATAGCTTCGATTTATTTGATAGAAAACATTTGCTTTTCTGCATCTATGTAACTCATCTTACATTTTTAGCAATACAGAGCACAATAATAAGAGCAACAATAAAGCAACCAGCAGCAATTCTTGCAGTGATAAGATTTGTGGAAGCAAGTATCAAAGCCATTCCCCAAAATGATGAACCAAGATCTAGAGGAAAAACCAATCAGAAAAATGGTAAATAGTAATACAACTGAAAAGCACTCTTATCAAATCATATGCATAAAAAGGTTTAGATGTCTGTGTGTCTATGCAGAATATAGAATATTGATATATATTTATTAATCTCATTATTTGAAGGCATTTAGCTTGTATGGTCAAACCATAGCATGTGTGGTGCTGTTCATTCAGAAGATTGTCATGGATAAGTCCCTGATTCTAAATTAACTAAATAAAATTGACGTGCTAAGTGAAAATTAAGGGAGAAAAATGCATTACATCCAGCAGGCAAGATCACCCAGTATATGCCACCACGTGTCTGTGTTGACCCACCCTCATTTGCGTGAACCTGGATTCCCTCCACCTATTGGCATCAGACTAACAATGGTTTAACATGTAGAACATATACATAAATATAAAGAAGCTTATAGCAGAGTCAAACTTCTGAAATTTCTCAGCTTTAATATTAAAGTAAGGCCGCCGTGATCCTGCCAGCAGTAAAATACTGCTAATGCTAATCCATAGTTGAATATATTAGTAAAAACAGGGTATACATACTACTTCATTTTATTGAAGCATCAGGAATTCAGGATGCAGGAAGAATATACTTTACATGAATAAGTTCTACAACATTTTAACTTGAAAGAACAAAATGATGAAAAATAATTCCTTAAAAACCTTACATCTATTGAATTCATAATTTGTATGCTAGAGCAGTGAATTTGCCAGTGCCGTAATAACCACAAAATAATTTAAAATAACAGAGATTAAGAAAAATCCTCCCTGGTTGATTGCATGCCATGGTTACACAAAGAATAGCAAGGCAAATCAATCTCAGAGAATTACCTGCACAAGCATCTTGTCATGGATTACAAACGTGTTTTTTAGTATGTTTTTTTCCCATTATTCTTTCATAAAATTCAGTATGGTCTCAAGGTATGTCTCTTAAGAGAATCAGATGTATGCCCCTCTACCTCTGGTTGTCAAATAAAAACTTCCATAAGCCACCAACAGAGCATCATTTTCAAGTTAAAATTATTAAAATATTTTTATAACCTCTACCTTTCAAAACCAGAGTTATGTTTATAAGCAACGAGTGGACAGTGTAATAAGTTATTGAGATTTTAATGCTATATATTATATCCACAAACGTGGTATGACAAATCACAATATGAGAAAGAGGTTGCTAAACAGTTTTTATGTTAAATGTTCTACCTAAGAGCATTAAAGTGAAACACTAGGCTCATCTTCAATAAGCAGCTCACTTGATGAACTAAATTTACCATCTCAAATCAGCCCATGTACTGCTAATAACTTTTTAGTTGGTGAAATAAAATCTCTTCTCCATTGGAAATGCAACAAAACAAAACAGATCATTGTACTAGATGAACTTTTGAACCTATCTCCAGTTCTCCATTCAAATTAAGTTGCTAGTGGCTACATATTTGATGATACATAACAAGAGCCATTATTGGCCCCAGAATATCTTGGATTTCATGTTATTCAGGGAACAGAATACAAGATAAACTTCTAACACATTGTAAAGGAAAAAATATTCAAAAGTGGTCTACTTCTATCATCAAAGAGAATTAAGCTATGACATTTACTGTTTTACCTGGCCACAAGTGAGCTTGCAAGCAATTGCATGACTCGCTTCATGCAGAAATACAGTGATGAGCTTAAAAGGTGTAAGTAGAAAAGTTCTCCATAGCTATAGCCACAACAACAAGGTGTTTGCAGAAGAAGATTAGTTGTACTTGTACAGCATCTGAGAACAAATAAATACATACAAGACATTGTCCCCAAAAGAAATCTACATGACATGTGGTGTGGCATATTTATCTATGTTTACTAAGTCCAGATAAATATCTGCAAACTTCTCGGACTTTACCAATAAAAATCCAAATATGGTGCAGTATTAACCAATAACCAATAAATGCATAATATACAATAATAGACAAGAGACCTCCTTTTGAAAAGGTCCATTGTGAAATGTCAAGTCAACCAAGTTATTCACTTACAAAACCCCGTAGTCTTTCTTCTGATTAGCTCATCCAAATAGAGCTACCAACTTTGATCCAGTCACCAATCACAACTAATTTGATAAACAAATCCATGCAAAAATGGGGAATTTTTAATCCTCTTGTTATCCAGCCTAATGTTTCTCTCAAAAAAAGAAAAAAACGCTATGAAATTTATACATAGCAGCATTATTTGTGGCACGCCAAATTCTCAAAAAATTACAATTGACAACCCAATCCCGCATTTACGAACATTTGAAAGCAATTTTCAATGTATAACGGTCACTGAAATAAAATAAAATAAAACATAGAATTGCACTATAATAGCACAATTACCTACAAAGTGTGTTTTACATTAGAGAGAAAGAGGAGTGATTAATAATTATAGATATAAATTATTGTCATATAAAGCCTCAAACCTAAGAACCATGGAAAATATTGATATTCTTTTGAATTAGAAAAAACAATAACAATAATCTTAATTCCCAAAGAGGGTGTCTTTTCCTTTCTGAGAACAAGAGAAAAAAAAATATGGGTTTTGTATAGAGAGAGAGAGAGAGAGAGAGCGCAACAAAAGTAGTACCACAAGGATAACAACAGTGAAGGCAGCAACACAAGCAATGAAGACCTTCTGGTCATGGTCACAACAATTCTTCAGCTCCCAGTTAGGCATAGCTGCTATGCAATGAGAAAGGTGAAAGAGTTGAACTTTGATGAATGATGATTCTGGGTTTTGAAGCTTATGATTAAAGGAAGCTTTTTGGTTTGGTGGGTAAGACTTGGAAAGGCAAGAGAGGGAGAGAGAGAGAATATATAAAAAGAAAGACAATTTATTTATTTAATTTACATCGAAACTCGAAAGTATTTGTATTTAATTTGAGAAACAAGAAAGACAAAGTATTTGCCAGTTAGGTTCGAATTACTTCGCTGCCTGCGTGTCTAACGCGTAAAGTCGTTGTACCAATCAACGTAGTTTCATGTTCTTCCGCATTCTTATGTGCTACCTCGATTCAGATTTTTGTTAATTTGAATTTTTCAATTATTCAACATTTTTCACTGCCAACATCAATAATGATGGTACGAGGTAAGTCCACTAGAGCAATTGTTGTCACCCTGTTCATGTGTTTATATTTCACCATCAAAATTAGTTTATGTAATACATGTGGTATAAATTTTGTGATTCAAACAAACTTATATATATATATTTAATTTCATCAAAATTAATTTTACTCAATTTTAAAATTGATCTTTAATTATTTGATTACTTTTTTTATCTGAGTTGATTGAGTAATATTTAGTTTATAGTAATTTATTTTATAAACCATACCTCTTCATATTTTGTGGGAAATGTTAAATTACTTGAGAAAAAAATATTATATTCTAAAAAGTAAATATATATATATAGTCATATAAACTAATTTAAGAAAATAAGGATTCTAATTATTGTGAGAGCTCACCCCTTACAGATAAATTATGATGAACTACAAATGTAACAATTTTTTATACTCTATTGAATACAGTACTTATAAAATGAAGTTGTTGATAAGTTAATAGATTTATTTATTTATTTGATAGCCAGTTTTGTAACGAAACATATTTGTTATGCATAAAAAAAGATTCACATAAAATGATTTATGTGTTCCCATCCATATGCGGAAGAAAAAGAAAATGAAATTATAATCGTAATAATTACGTGAGAATCATTTTCAATAACATCACTCTATTTTTAATGAATACTTTAAGATAAGTGTAAAATACGCATTTGCTATAATTAACTTATGAAAATTTAATAGCCAAATTATTTATAAGATATTGCAGTATTACAATCGATATGATCGGTACTATAGCAACTTCTTGACGCTTTAAAATCCATTAAATGCATTTAACTATCAATCAATGTTATGATAACTCATCATGAATATATAAGTACTTGTAAAGATAATACACGGATTTCAATCTTGTAAAGTGGATGAAAACAGTATAAGTAATTCAGTAATCCTTTTGTTTGCATATTCAGTTTAATTTTCATACTTATGAAGAGTTTACATTGTTTTTCATATATATAATTGAAATATTTGTTATACAAGAGCTTTACCTGTTTTCTGAACAAAATTTTTGGACAGCAAGTTAAAATATACTTTTGTTTGTTAGTTAATTTTCATTGGTCTGAAATTCAGACCCTTACAACAGATTCATTTAAGGAGAAAAAACTTTATCCAAAATTTATTTCATTTTTATTCATAAAACTTAAATTAAGATCTTACGTAGAAAGAATTAAACTGTCACTTAACCGAACAGTTATCAATGTCATGTGATTCTTTAATCTTATTTAAGGTATGAATGGACTCAGTCACCTTTCAAGATCTCTGGCTGAGTCCTAAGGCGAATGGGTCTACATTTCCCTGTAGTGTAGTTTTATAAGCCATAGGGACTTTTGGGTTGGCTATTACAAATGCAATTTACTTCATTGTTCGATGATAAAGAAATATATATAAAAAACACAAAAAATATGATGATCACGGAACCTATACATGAACCTACATGAACAAGTTTCATGCATATTGACAAATCTTTGAGGATAACCACTCTGCATTCCCATTTCTACTATGTATATTAACATATTATATACACAAGATGAAAGGCACCATAGAAGGGTGAGAGTGAGTTGTAGACCTTAGTCCTCATGAGGAGAACTGTGCCTATATTTTTCCCGCCTTCGAGGGTGTTCATCTCTTTCTTTTCTTTTACCAGAATGTCTGTCAGTGTCAGTAGAACTTCTGTGCCAATGTTCTTTCTCAGATGAACTCCTGTCACGGTAACGACCGCTCCTCTCCGAAGAGCTCCTTCTATGTGAGTGGTCATCTCGGTGACTTGAACTCCTTCTGTAGTGCCCTTCCTCAAAGTCCACTGAGCTTTTGAGTGTATCTTCTGTCTTGTTCTTATCATTAGAACCCCTTTTATGAGAGTCTTCTTCCTTTTCTGAAAGGTTCCTTTCTCTTCTTCTAGGGGGGGATGGGACCTGTACATGTATGGACAAATAAAAGAAATTAACAATCAAATTGTAAATTTCAAAATTTTGATTTGGAATAATAAGTTTTAGTAAACTAATGATTTATCAAAAGCAACATTGAACAAGCAAATAGAAATAATGCGCCATGACTAACTATGAACAATCCTAGACCAAATCCAAAAGCATTTGTCCTTAAATATCTTAAAATATTTAATATAGATCAGATATTCTTATATATATAAGATTGTAAAACATCTTTTCCACATGAGATGTGCTCCAAAAGGTAAAACAAAACACCTGAAAGCGTGACATGTATCTTCCCTCAGGTGGAGGTGGGATGCCAAGCTTCTTCAATTCCTCATATGGGATTGGTTTCCTGGTTAAATAGTAGAGAAAATAAAGAATCAATGTCCACAAGTCAATGAACAGAAACTACGTTGTCAAAATAAACTCATTGGATCATATTCAAGCAGGTCTCATAAACCATATTATAGCATCAAGTCAAATAGTCAATGGAGATATGTCATGTTTTTGTTTGCATTACACTTAGATTTATCCCTTTTCACGAAACTTCTATAATGAAGAATTATACAAACAACTTTCAGATCACAACTTCCACTACTTAGAGGCAATCCATCATCTTATGGTACTATAAACTTCAATACACATGTAATCATCATCATTTCCATTATGGCTGCCCCATTTCAATCTTACCCTCCCTCACACCTGTCTTCCTTTTGATATTTGAAGCAAGTTTTTTAAAACGAGGTTATAATATATTTCATAAATAAGGAAAAATATAGTTTTCAGATATAAGAGAGCTGAAATTTACAGGGGTGCCCGAAATGGTTTTTCTCTTCCCCCAAAACGAAGTTGTCCTGATTCCTTCTTACCACTAAGACCGCCGCCTGCAGGAGAGAACAGAAAATAGTCAGGTGGCTTTGGCTCAATGGGTGAAAATGCAACTTCAGGAATGAGTCACTTTAACTGACCTAACCGTCTAGGAATCCATCCAGGCATCAATTGCTGTCTGTTGTAATCCACTATGATTTCACAGTCATCAACTATCAAATGATGAGCATCCTGCAAGTGAGAGAAGTGAATAAATTTCCATAACATTAACAATTAATAAAAAGGCATATTTTGATTCAACTGAAGTCCAGATGATTTCATTTGCTTCTTGTGACTATAAAATCAGGTAGGTTTTCTCAAAATTCAATTATTAAAGCATGACTGATGTGGATGTGTCTTTGTTTTATGTATAAGGAGGCATAATAGGGATTTAATTTTTGTTGTGTCATAAAGCTTTGCTTTCTTAGCAAAAATTTAAACAAAGTTTTAACAAATTGCAGCACCATATATGCCCGTCGCATCTCCCTTTCAGTTTCATATTCAACAAAAGCATAACCACAAGAAGCTCCAGTCACTGCAACCAAAAAAATTAAATTCAACATAAAAACTTAAATCCCACAGCTTGGCAATAAAATGGCTAAAAGAGTGATTATTTACATAACATTCCAAAAGAAGAAACACATAAAATTGCCAAACCACCTGTGGACATTTAACAAAAAAAATGAATATACCAGATGCTGTACAAATAGCCCAATGGGAAATGCTATGTCTGTCGGTAAATGAATATTAACAGAGATTTAATAAGAATCAATTTCCAGTACTTGGGTAAACAATAAAACAATTTAATACAAGAAACACTGTTCTAAGGCATGTATAAATTTACATGCACCATATTAATTCCATATCATCAAAAATAAACTATGGTAGTTAAAAGATACAAAATGAGCAGTATGTAGATTCCTAACAGACTTGTAAATTTCATAGTTTAAATACAAGAAAACATATCCTTGATTTCTTTTTTATCAAAACATAGTTGCAGAGCATTATAGAAGTAAGCACTCAGCAAGTACTCAATCATATTGATCTGCATGCTCAATATGAAACATCACTTAGATGTTGTTCCAAAGTACACAATTTGAAGAATTAAGATAGGTCCACGTAGAACAGGGGGAAATTACTGACAATCAACAAAAGGTTAAGAATTAAGATAGACCAAAGAATGATACCAATGTCTCTGACCAAGCGCAAGTTCTTCACGCGACCATACTTACTCATAACCTGAAAGTTAAAACCCACATTTCATAAGTACTCAGATTAAGATATCGGAGAAGTATTATGATAAAAAAAACGAGGCAGAAAAAGAAGAAACGATGGTGTCATAAACATGGGCTAGGAGAATTATCAATATCCTCCATCAAGTTGACAAAGTTGTCATCTTTTAAATTGGCTTTCTTCCTGGAAGAAACTCACAAGTATCAAGGAATATAGTTGAGTTCCAGATGCTCCTTCCAAAATCATAAGCTTTATGTTCCTTTCATACTCTTACTGATCGATTGTTTAAGTAGAGATAGGAATGGTCAGAATTGAACCCCGTCCATGTAATCTTATTTTATATTTCCATTCTTCAGGAAAAATAAATCTGCATCAACCAAGTTAATATTTTGCAATAATTTTCCAGATTCATGTATTTATCATACATACAAGACAGTATTACTTTGCTTTCAACAATTGTAACATAGAAGAAGAATATATCCTATTTGCACCCCATGGAAGGAAAAAGAAAAAGTTTTACCTTGCAAAGAGCATCTTCGGTGGTGAGGCGAGAGAGGCGAGCCACAAAGAGAGTGCAATAAGGGTCTCCAGTGGCCTTGGGATCACCAAAAGGGTCATCTGCAAAATTCAATTTTTTGAACATAAAATCGAACAAAATTGAAAATTTTGAAAAAGAAGAAAACGAAGGAAAAACATACAGAGGCCAATAGAGGAACAGAGTTGAGCACGAAAAACGGCATTGTCATGAGGAAGAATATCAGTGCCATCAATGCTGCCAGCTTGAATGGGATGGTAGGAATCTGCATAGAAGACAGAGTTCAAGTTTTTGGACCTCACACTCATTGCTTTTCACTCTTCGCTACAGCCTACAATGTTCCGTGATATTCCACGATAACAATGAAGTAATGCTACAATACACTCTACACTAGCAACAATCTTGTACACGAGCTCCTGCAATAAAAATAAAAAGGGATATTCTGTGACAACATATAAGGGATAAAAATAATTAGTGTCAACAAAATCAATAAAAAAAAAATGATAAATAGAAATACTCTAGTAGAAAAGGTTCTACCACAGTACACCAAGTACGGCAAAAACATGCAGTCAGCATATAATATCAGTTTAGTTATTTATGAGACATCAAAGGGTAGGATAAAATTTGAAGAGCAAAATATATTGAGATTAGGAACTCGCAAGGAGAAGCCTTTCTTTTCTTTATTCAATTTCCTGCGACAAACTTGGAAGACTTTACTGGACAATGTAAGACTGCTAGAAGATACAATACTAGCTAAAATTGAAAGTACAAGGTTGAGAAAAAAAAATTATGGTAAAAATATAAATGTCAACCATATACTTCAAAATTGTTTCAACTTCCAACAGTGGAATTTTTTCCTTGTTCTAAATAATTGAGTTTTGTTAAAATCCTCAGACTCCTGAACTCTTTCAGTCTTCTCCAGTAACTGATGTGCTGTTTTTAACTTGCCACACTTCTGAAACACATGCTCAAATGTGTCTCTAGCATAAGCTGATAAAGGAATACCCTTTTCTAGCATTGATTTAGCCTTCTCATATGCAGCATCTAATTGACCTACTTTGCACAGCTTCTGCAACTTGTGGTTCTCAAATTTTCTTTCCAATCTAGTGCATAGATCTGACTGATCATGTTCTCTCAAAAGAGTGTCTACTAAATTGTAAGTATGAAAATGTGGAATATATCCCAAACTCAACATTTCCATTAATAAGTCATAGGCAACTTTCCAGTTCTTATCCTCCCCATGAGCATGGATCAAAGCAGTGTAAGTTAAACTATCAGGAAGACACCTGTTCTTGTTCATGATCTCAAAGACCCTCGTAGCAAGGTTCAATTTTCCCAATTTACAAAGCATGGATATAACAGAATTATAAACAACCAACTTTGGCTTTAAGCCACTGGTCAACATTCTTCGAAACAAACTATTAGCTTCCTCCACCCGACGGTGGTCACACAACGCTGTTATAACAATAGAGTATCCCTCTTGAACACAAGTTAGCTTCCTTTCCTCAACAATCCTCAACACTTCCACAGCTTCTTCTACATTACCCAAGCGACAAAGCTCTGACATAAGCTTGACTACAACAAAAGCACTAGGCAATAAGCCAGAACTATGAACTGCCCAAAATACTGCAACGGCAGGCTGAATTGCACCACTGTTTCCTCCCATGTTAGGAACCAATATAGTGAACGGTCTACGAGTATTCCGCACTCTTACCTTCTCAACAGACCCTTCTTTTGCACTGATTAAACACAGCTCCCCAATAAGAACGTTAACAGCAGAACGAGTAGGAAGCACTCTAATCTTCTCCATTTGACCAAAAATTTCAAGAGCCATCTCTAATCTACCAAGTTTACACAAACCAACAATCATGTTACTGCAGGAATAGGTGTCAGGAGCCTCAATCTTGCGAAAAATTGAAAGTGCAAGCTCAATCATCTCCAAAGAAGATTGCCTCTTGCAGAGCACATAAAGCATATTATTATAGACAAGATTATCAGGCTTACACCTAAACACAGTTTCCATTTCCTGAAACAACGACAATGCTTCAGCAATTCTCCCTTGCCTACCCAAAAACCTGATAGAAATGGACAATGCCTTAGAAGAAACTCGACCCTTATGAAACGACATCGTTATCAACAAACACTTGATGTCATCAAAGAGCTTCCTCCTACCCAAGAAATCAGCCATGTACTCAACCACAGAGTCATGGAACTGAAAACCCATGTGGGTCCCGGCCAAGGAGAAGAATTTCAAGGTCTTCGCTCTACCCAACTCCTTTTGACTCATCAAAACATGAAGCACGAGATCGGAGGTTAACTCTCGGTTGTAACAAGTCAAAACGCGACCCATGTCGGCGTCGTTGGCGCAAGAGACGAGATGGGAAAGTAAGGAGCAAGTGGAAACGACATGAGAAGGGGCTGCGTTGCGTGAAAGGCGTGGAATTGGAGGAGGGTTTGAGGAATTAGGGTGAGTTATGGAAGAAGAAGAAGAAGAAGAAGATTTGAAAAGACGACACGTAGTGATAACATAAGCATAAAAAGCAGGAACATGTCTACTATTCCTACAAATACAAAGCATTGCAAATTCAGAGACAAGATTGTTTGTTACCGTTTTTGAGAGTCACCGTCGAATCCTTGTAGTTCTGCTTCTTACGTTGTTCTTCCGGAGAGCGATGTTATGTTAGACACAGACATGGCATTGGCATAAGGGCCGAATAGGGCTGGTTTCCGTTCCGACCCGGGCCCTGACCCAAAACCTGTTTTTATTTTCATTCCATATGTAGAAAATATTCGATGGATAATTGTTGAAAAAAGAAAAAAGAAAACAGTGGATAATCAATATTTGAATACTGTTTTGATTTAGTTTATTAATATATATATATATATATATATATATATATTCATTCTATGAGAAAGTATTCAAAATAAATAACTATTTATTAAAAAGCTAAAATTATAATGCATTTAATCCTATCTCTAGCCGGATGACAGCGTCTAAAAATTTCATCATTGTTTTTTTTATGATAAATAATTAATTATTTGGGTAAAACACCATCCTGCCTATATTTTATTTAAATAAATTATACATTGAGTACATAAAATAATGTATTAAAACACACAAAAACAAAAGATATAATGCAAATAAAAGAAAAACTAATAGCCGAAAAGTGGAAGGAGAGCAGTTAAGAAACCTTCTATTCGCCTGCCATTATCTTTGAGATTGAATCTTCAGCATCTTTGAAGAAAACTATACTCGAAGTACCAAACCAAGCAAATTAAGAAACATAATTTAAATCATAGAGTAATCAAATGTTGAATTATTAAGGCTTTGTATTGCTTGTGAACATGGGTGAGGCAATCATGTTTTCCTCCGCTAGGGTGTTGGAGAGTAGCATGAATAAGAGTCTTGATGAAGGGAGTGGAGATAGAGCACATTCTTCAATGCATGTAAGTTTTATCTTTAAAATTTATATGGTTATCTTTCTTTTAAGTTACTTTTACTTGCATTTTCAGCTTTGTTATCAGATAGTATGTTTGTTAGGAATGATGTTCATATCTTATTTTCTTTGCAAGTTTTAAGATATTGAAGAAGAATGGATTGGAAAACGATAATTTGATGATGAGATCTAGTGTTGACTTTATCCATTTTGTGTTTAAAGCATATGCAGAGAAGAAAAAAAACAAAAGTTATGCTTTAACATTCAAACTAGCTAGTCTTGCCCATATCGCATGCTTAGAGCCTTACTTGATAGAAGTTCATTCTTAAGGACTCTATGCTTAAGATTTATTTTAAGAAATATTAGATGTGGTTGATAAAGAAAAAGGATAGAGACTAAGCATATTCTTAAGATATATTTTTTCATTCTTAAGGAACATCAATAATAAGCTTACTAAATTCCTGTTCTGTATTTTTCATTGTTATTGATAAACATAATATATTTCCCTGAATCTTAACAAAATATTTTCAATATTGTAAATTTTAATTTTCTTTTAAGTTCTTATAATAAACATAAACAATATATTGTGTTGTATGTAGCCCAGGAAATTTACCAAACACGAACAAATTATCTGTACAGATTGCATATTAGTTATTTTAAAAGAATCACATCATGTTATGTTATTAGTATAAATACGTAATTTTAAGTTTATAATTTAACTAGAGTTAACTCTCTTTCAAAATCAAGTATATTTATTTTTAAACCTATATTTAACATGCTATTTTTATGTAAAAAAATTAGTTCTAACTTAACTTCAGTTGGATTGAAATTTTATCAAAATTATGGCAAACAAGGTAAGGTTTAATAAAAAAAATATTTACTTTATATATTCTTAGAAGCGGACTTACATAAAAAAGAAAATAAAATAAAATAAATACACACTTATAAATAGTTTGATATTTTTTATTTATGTTCACAAATTTTTAATATAATTTTATTATTTTATAATTTTTTATCAGATAAAATCACAAACTATCTTATTTATAATTTTTTATCGATAAAATTACAAAAAATTGCATATTATTATTGTGAATAAATATAAAATAATTTTTTATTTCATAAATTTTCTTTTAGATTGTCAATGTGATATACTTAGATAAATAATTCACTTTTGTACGAGAGTAACAATGAATTTTTTTATCATACTTAATTGATAAAGTAATTCACTCAAAACTTTGATGCAATTAACTATCCAAATAAAATAATTTTAAGTGAAGATATTTATTAGCTTATAGAATGTATAAGCTATAAATATATCAAGACTTTTTTCTCAGAGAGTTGAATAGCAAATTAAGGTGTAATTACAATAAAAATAAAATAAAAGATTGCTATAAAATTTAAGAAACATACGATGAAACAATAAAATTAAAAATAAAAAATGTCATATAATATTTTTAATAAATGAGTTTAAAAAATTAAAAAATATATATTACACGACATTTTTAACGAACAAAATATAATAATGTACAAGAATAATATATATATTTCTAATTAAATAAACAAACATTGTGGCTAGTGAGTATCCAGCTGACAATGGAGAAGGAATCCAAGTTATCAGTGGAGACTATCACAATCACATTATTGACGTTGTTTCAGAGGGAAAGTGTTTTTTTTTTCCTTATTTGTATATGTAGATATGGCCAATTGGGCATGTCGTGACACAAAGACCTTCATCAATTACAGTATCAACTCCTGCATTCGTGTTCACTCATCTGCCTCTACAATCCATGCCTTGAGCGAATTCGTGACCCCACGTTGCATTGCATGCTTCTACGGTCTTCTTCACACGATCCAAGATAATCAGAATTCAGATGGGTTTCTTGCACCCCATTTTGATTTGAAAGCTTTACTGTGATCGATCAAACCCACTGTCATGAGTAGCAGCAGCTGGAACAGCCAAAACAAATGTGACTAGTAAGTAGCCACTCCTGTGTGTTATCGGTTTGATGTTGCTTTACAGGATAATTTAATTGGATAGTCATTATTTTATTTCATAAGTATGTTAGAGAGTTCTTTTATAAATAATTTGTTAGCTTACAAGTTTCTGATTTTACTCTTGTTAATTAAAAATAATAATTAATGTTCTTATTTTTAATAAATTTATACATGCATGCTTAGTTATTTACACTTTACGTGATGATAATGAAAAGAAGGAATCTCGACCTCCATTCCCAGTCATGTTTATAATTAGCTGATGATACTAATGATGGGGTAATGATGGATAATTGATATTAAGTGCATGATTGAATTAGTTTTATTTGAAAAAAAATGTTCTTTTAGCTTTTTTAACTAACTAAAAAGATGATCATTTTATATAATTTAAATAAATCCAAACACTTGCAACTCACCAGCTGGTTAATCTTAACTTGCATTGCATGACCGTGATAAGAGTATTTAATTCTCACCATAATTTTTCATTAAATTGGCAGTTTGTTTTTGTCATTAATTTAAAATAATGGTTTTTCATCACTTTACACTTTGTTATTAAAAAGTAGGACATTCGTAGCAACCAGAAAAAGAAAAAGAAAAATAAGTTAATAAGTTTGAAATCACTTTTTCAAATACAACTGTTAGAAAACAAAATATATTATAACCATAGAAAACAAAATATAATATAAGACCTATTCATTTTACTTTGTCTGTTATTGGCCCAACAAATCTTATTAGAAGTTGTCTATGTAGTTGTATCCATTGGATTTGGAAGATTCTCCAAATGGCAGCTAGAAATTTATTTTGGTATAGATTATTAGTCGATTATAGTTGTTTCATAGTCAATTTCTATTGTTCATGGCATGTTACAGTTGGTTTGCTGTCTATTTATTCACAAATTACAATGTCAAACACAACCAAAAGAATGCGCCAACGACAGATCATTAATAGAAAACAAAATCATCCAATCTAACTTTCTATTATAGATCAGATGCTAGAAGATTTTTTGGCATGCAAGTGGTGAAGGGGCTATTGGCGTGTGGCACCCCACAAACAGAGGAGTTATTGTGAATATCTGAAAAATCTACCATATAATTATAATATAGCCTTGACAACCAAACTAATGAGCTTATTAGAACAATTAATATCATTAAACACTAATTACTTAGACTTAATTGGATTTGGTGATAAAATAGTTGAGTGCATATTTGCAGTGGAAGTTATCATTTGTAATATTAAAGTGAATCCACCTTGTATAAAATAAAATAATCATAATCTAAAGTAGAAAAAAGAAAAAGAAAAAAGCAAGACTCACCCAAAAATGCAATCGAAAAGATGGACTGAACAAATATAACCAAAGTACTTGCCCACAAGAAGGGGCCGAAGGGGTATAAATTCATAAATGGATTGCTAGTATATTTGGGTTTTTATTAACTGGTCATAACTGGGTAATTAATTTATGTACTTGGTTAATCAATGATCTAATCATGATCAATTAGTGTAAAAGTATTGTGCACTAAATAATATGAAAAAATAATATGTCAATGAGTAACATGATTAAGTAAAAGATTATAACCCTTAGTTAGCTTAGCTAACTAATGGCTATACGAATCAGTGACAATATAGTTAAAATAAATAATTTATTCAGAAAAAGAATATTGTGTGGCTGAACTAATCATGTAACAGTCAAAATCAACAACTAATGATCAAAATTGTTATGCAAACATCAGATGCTAAACCATAATTAAGGAGATTCTTAGAAGAAAAGGAAAAGATATTACTTCTAGAATGTCAAATTCCCACGTCCTAGAATAAATTAATCCATGGAAAAGCACTTGTCAATGACTTTGGTGAACAGAATATTGTCTTTTTATTTTTTATTTTATTTTATTTTTATCTATAAGCCATAAAAAGAGGCAAATATTAAAAAATAAATTTATTATTTTAAAATTTAAAGATAAAACACTTTCCAAATTTATAGTTGTACTAGGTAATTCAAAAAAGTAGAGAGAGGCAGTGAACAATAGCGTTTACATTACCTCGCCGCTGTTACAGAAACATAATGGCATGTTCCCCTGTCGTGTAACGATGTCGTATTAGTAAAAGCACAGCATTTTGGAATTTTAAGTTTTATTTACCATGTTTATAACATCATTAATTGCTACTTATTATTTTTGAATTGTTCTTAATAACTGTATAAATAACTAAAATATTTAGCAAAAGTCATTTTTTGGGTTGTTATAACATTCAAATCATAATTATATATATAAAAAACTAACTTAACATGATATAAATAAAAACATACAAGTTTGATTTCATTCTCAACAACATATATATTGCATAAATTTTACATATTTAGAAATTCATTAAAATTATAAAATTTTAATTAAAATTAAGATGCTAAACAACGATATCCTTATCAAAGTATGTTAACATGAGTGGAAAGAAATTTTTTGAAGTATATGTCTTGAATTCATTAACAAAATTTATGTATATATAAAAAAAGATTGATAAAAGGGATCTCCATTTTCGATCCATATTCCAATCTTCAGACAGGACATATTTTATCACTTACTTAATTTTTTATTATTTACAATAAAAATGAATTTATTTTAGAATATAACAATAAGATTGATAAATAATGATATAAGTGTATTAACAACGACACTATTTGGATTATTTTTGTTTTGCTCTTACAAGCATTGAGGAGTCACTAAAATTGTGCATTGAATAAAAAATGTATTTGGGTGCATAATAATAATATAATAATAGGAGAGTCCACTCCATCAATGACTAGCAATTGGGGTACAAGCTAATTCTTTGGCATCATTTTGGGTTGAGTTTAGATATTTGAACAATGACATTATATATTATTAATTTTTATTTTAGATATATTAAAAATATTCATTTTTAGTGATATTTAAAACAATTATCTTTTGGTTTTATTTTGGTTGTACCTGCGGCGAGTTATACCTATGGCTATGCATATATTGCATAATTTAATATTGGAGTTGGTTTGGCAGTTAATTTGATGTTATTATTATGAAGGGGTTAACGACTTGAAAGATGCAACCAATCCTAACCCAAGCCGGCTTTTAGGTACTTAGCTCACAACACTCTCTGCACGTCCTTTCATCACTCTCTCCTTCTTGGCCTCTTCATCAACAAAGTCACCTTTTTCATTTCCAAATTTTCACTCCTTTGATTATTTCAAACATACCCAGAAGCAATATCCTTTTCTCACACCCTTTCTGATCCCCTTTTGTCCACTTTGGACCACTGAATAAAGTTGCAACCTTGATATCTTGTTGCCTTTAATAATTCATACCTTCTTTATGCTATTCTTTTTATTTTGGACTTAGATGCTTCTTTTATTGCTGCATTCTTTGTTAGGTTTGAATCAATCAAATTGACTACCCTGCTTACTTTTGGCCCATTTAAACCCTCTCTCTCTCTCTCTCTCTCTCTTTTCAAATCCCATTTCATAGTGATTTCTGTTAATTTTTATTTTGCTGTTTTAAGGATTCTGGGGCTGTGTGATTCCTCAAAGCTTGGATGAAATGGCAATTGAACTTTGCTCAGAAAATTGTGGGGTTTCTTCTGTGAGTCCAAGAATTTCATTCTCTCACGACTTTTCCCATTCTGATGTAATACCTGTGGAGCAGCTTCCTTTTAGATCAAACTCTTCTGGTTTAAATTCAGGCATTGATTTTGATTTTCGGGTAAGTGAAAGCTTTGAGCTTGAATCATCTTCAGCAGACGAGCTTTTCTCACATGGGAGGATCCTTCCCACTGAGATCAAGAGAAAAAATACACCTTTGAAGCAAACTGGTCAATTAGCTCCACACACTGCATTGCCTCCTCCATATGCTGTTGGTGAAAACTCATCTACTAGTAAAAGCTTGAAGAAAGAGACCTCCAAAGAGAGCAAGTATTTGAATGATATAGTGTATGAGAAGCAAAGTTCCAAGTCTTTTTGGAGCTTCAAGAGAAGTAGCAGTTGTGGAAGTGGTTATGGAAGGAGCTTCTGCCCTTTGCCACTTCTATCAAGAAGCAATTCAACTGGATCATCAACAACTCCAAGTGTTAAGAGGAATCCAATGTCAAAGGAGGGTCCTAACATTAAGCCAAATTCACACAAACATTCCACCACAAGGGTCACTCATCACCTTGTGCCAAACAGTTATCAGAAGCCTCCATTGAATAAGAGTCATGGATCTTATGGTAACAGTGTTAGAGTCAATCCTGTCCTCAATGTTCCTCCTGCAAACCTATTTGGTTTGGCTTCAATCTTCAACAATAGAGACAAGAGCAAGAAGAAGTAGTCTTAGTTTACTAGCAAATCAGTGGGGTCTATCTTCTATTTCAATGTACTTTTTGGGTTTACCATGTGAAATTAGATAAATGAGTATAGATTAAAGTTTTTAAAGGTGAATGGTTTGCATCAAGAAGACGAAGTGATGCAAAGAGATATGTGTGAAGATGATGGGCAAGAATGATATAATGCAAACACATGTTTTGGGGGCACAAAATGACAGGTAACTGTTGTTTTCATGGCTGTCCCTTGCTTCTTTTTTTTGTTCCTCTGCTTTTGCTCTTTGGACTATGTGTAAATACATTGATTTTGATTAGTGTCTCTTTGGGGTTACTCTTTTCATCTCTTTTACTCTTCGTGCGAGTAAAAGGCTAAATGGAGAAATTGATAGTACAATTGTATGTGAGAAGAGCTTGCACGTTTCTCTTCTGCTTTCGGTTGTTCTTGTTGCAATTGCATGGATTGATTATTAATAGTAATAATAATTAATAACTCTTTCTGACTCATTTTTTGAACTTCTTCAACAGGCAGAACCAAAGTACCATGTGTATGAACAACACTTAAGCACAATAGATCAATATGGTTATATTAATTGGTACTCTGCAAAGTTGTTACGGTCTAGCCCATTCGTTAACACTAATTTCAAGAGTATTTGACAATTTATATAAGCCATATATCATTTCTAAATCACTAAATTATGCCTAATAAAGATGCAATAGTTTTGAAAAGTTCTAATGAGGCACTTTCCTCTATTGTTTTCCTTGAACGGTGACCGCTATATCCTCTCTGAAGAATATAACATCCAAAATGGGTTATAAAACTTGTAGCTGTAATCTTAGTGGGCATGCTTTCTGCTAAAGTAGAAGACCCTTTTACACCATGAATGTGATTACAAAAAATGAAATTCAACGTTGCCCTATTCTGAGTCTTTTTATGTGAATTCCTGCTCATTGTAGAACTAGGCAATCTGGGATAAAGTTTAGTAAGAAATCGAACTTTGGTCTAACATGTAACATTGCATTACCATTCTCATTAAAGCTTGCCTTTGAAAAGTTTAACATGACTAATTCCCTATTGGATGGTTTTTGACTGGCTTCAAATATCAAAATTGAAAAACTTTCCTTGTTAAAAATAAAGCAACAATCGCAAGCTTCCTAGGAAAAGGGAATACTCCAATCTAGAAAAAGTCCTACCTTGAACTTGAAGGAACCAACAAAACAAACATTGCAAGAAATCTTCGCCTTAGATGAGTGTATAATTGAAAATACTAATATGGTTTATTAAAATTTCAACTTGATTTGTATTAGTTCATAAAATAAGGATAAACATATATTTAATTAAATATAAATTTAAACATACTATTAGAGATAAGCTTTCCTCTTGTTTCCTTTTAAGGAAAAAAATTAGAATAAACTAAAAGATTGAAAGGGGCATTGTTGAGTATTGGCAGAGATAATATCTCAATAATCAGCATAGATTGGATGTGATTTGCATAGAGTAAAATGTCCCACATAAATTATCTAATTGTACATGGGATTAGTGGAAGAGTCAATTTTTATCTATTCAGTTGTCACTCATACTCAAGTTGTTACCGTGCTGTCTCTATCAAATTCATTTTGTTGAGCCATAAGTAGGAAATGCCAAGACAAGGTGTTCATAGATGATAAAAAAGTTGAAAGAAGAATTCAGTGGCATAACCAACCAAGAAAAATGGACAAAGGGGGAAGATGTGAATGGCCATTATTTTGATCCTTTAGACAAAGGACAACTTGCTTGACGTGGATCTTTGGTACAGAAAGTTTGGTTCAAAAGTTAACTCACCCCTCTGGTTTCAATCAAATTGGTACATTCATTCACAAGTCACTTCAGATCATAATAGTCCATCAAAGTGGAGGATCGTCTACACAGTTGCATACTCTATGATTCTTCCATCCATATATTCAAAATTATGTTTGATATTAATTTTTATTGCATCCATATAATAAATAATTTTAAGGCTTAATTAATTTCTATGTTATCTCTAAAAAAATTTACAATTTTGTTATTTAGAGTTTTATTTTTAACCATTTTTATATAATTAGTATTTTACATAAATAATTTTATTTTAAGTATAATATGCACAATTAATATAATAATTTTATATTTTTATTTAACAACTTTATAAAATTCATGTATTTATAGAATCTGAATTCGTGTATGTACATAATGAAACTATTATGTGCTCATGTTTTTCAAACTTCTGAATTATTTCCTAATAGTGTAGGGTACAAGTCATATCAGATTTTAATCACACAGTCCATTGTCAAAAAAAGGAAAGAAAAGGAAAAGTAAAACACAGAAATGCAAGTCAATTGCACAAACTTTCTTGCAAACTACAGAAGATATTAAATGATGATGTAAGTTGTTGAAACATTACAATGGCTAAAAAAATAAGGGCAGTGGTAAAAACACAGAAAAAAAAAAGTGACGATGGAAATGATTCTCTTACATCAAACAAAAAAATACATTGGCATTTTCTTAAATTTATTATAACTTTGTTTAATATTTTTTATTATGTATAACTTTTTATGTGATTATATGAACTATAAAATATCAAAATAATAAAAAATATTAAAAATAAAATTTATATAATTTACTGGAAAATTTATATAGTAAAGTTGAGAAGTGTAACGAGTATGATGTGATGGGTATATATAGGCAACACTGTCTGGTATCAAAGTAGCAGTGTAATTAGAAAACACATGTTTTCTCTTGGTGATTGGTACTGTTGAAAATTTGCATTATTTGTTGAAAGCAACCCAAAAGGAAAAGAGAAGAGATGGTTTACTCCAATTTCTTGAAGCAAACAGCCCACATACTATTGTTACCCAACTCCAAGACCAATACCATGTGATCCCTTCTCATCTCCCGAAGTACATCAGAATTGGTACATATATTAATGTATATCTACATCTTTATCTTAAATGAAGAATGTAAATATAATGCCCATAAAATTTAATTTTTTATAAATTTGTAGTTATGTGTGTTTAGATTAATTAAAAAAATATTTTAGCCCATCAATTATTTTAGAAATTGATTATGATAAAATCAAATTACTATTTGGATATGGATGTTAAAAATGACTTTAATATAAATTTATTATATTTGGGTAATATTAGAAATACTTTTAAATACTAAAATTATAAAAAAGGATGATAAGTACTTGCAACTGAGTATAGCTTTCAAGAAAATTAAATTAGGTACAATTTTTTAAAGTATTGTTAATGTTGTTTACTAATTATAATTGAGTTTTATTTCAATAACTAATAATAATATTATATAGAAATATTTTATTAATATAAATTTTAAAATTTAATTAATAATAACATTAATAGTATTAAAAAAATGACATGTAAGTTTCATTCTAAATTATAATAATCATTTTAATTTTTCTATATATTTAAATTATAACTCGTTAAATATAAATTAAATAAAAAATTTAAATTGAACATAAAAATTTTTAAACTTATATTAATATAATTTTATTATTATTATTATTATTATATATATATATATATATATATAAAAAAGGTTCTATTAATTTAACTATCGCTAATACTTTTCTTTTTATAATTATCATTTTCTTTTAATGTAGAAGAGCCTTTTAAAATAATTTTATATTTTGGTTGAAAGTAATTTTAGATCAAACTTATTCCATCGTTTAACCTTGCAATTCTAATTAAATCAATTTCTTAACTTACAACGAAAGAAATAAAGATATACATGGATAAGTTGGTAGTATCTTTAAAAAGTTGATAAGATTTTTTCACATATTGAAAAATAACGACAGTTGCTCTAAAATTATTGAACTATTTCTTAAATCAATTAAAAATTTTAAAGGAAATCCGATTTTGAATCATATGAACTAAGAGTGTTGAATGAATTTATGATAAAATGTATTTGCCCAAGTATTTATATATGTCACCTTGTTAGGTAAATGTTTTAAAGGTTCTTGGAAAAGGCTTTTGTAAATTAATAGCTTGATTCCAATCCTAAAGGGCCATGTGTTTGACTTTTGAAAATAGAATGTCATGAATTTTATCATGAGTGTTTCTTGTTAAATCAATATTTGCAATGATTTTTAAGAGAGTGTTGAATTGGATACTGTTGTTTTTAAGGAAACATGTTTTGAGCAATTTGTCTCAAATGAACTAATCTCTAACTTCTTCTTCTTCTTTTATTATTTTTTGTTAATATGAAGATATATTAAAGGATTTTATAAGGGTATTTTTATATTGAAGGATACAAATTAATTATAGAAAATAACTAGGGATTTTGAATAGGTGGTGAAGGCTTGTATTGACATATTTGAGCAAGAAAGAAAGTGCAAGAGTTTTATGAGGGTTATTTTGATGTTGAAAAGTTGTAAGGGTATTCTTTACTTTTTAAAGTTTAAAGATTCTCATTAATGAAATAATCAATCATATATTGAGAGAAAGAAAGCTTAGTATGCACCTAATCCTTATAAAAAGTTACTCAATTACAAGCCATGTCAAACAGACAATCAATAGATCATAAACCAAATGAATGATGATTCTTTGAACTGTAGTCATCTTTTGTTTTGTAAACAAAGTTACAAAGAAGATAAACAAAATTATTAGTGGGTGATACTCCTTTCAAAACTGTAGAAATAAAAACTGACCCTTTCAAATAAATACAATTAAGCAAATAACAAACCTTCAAAATAGATAGAATACACCTCTTTCCCAGTATCATTATTTTGGACATGTTATAGCTTCTTATGTGCCTCTCATGACCTAACCAATTCATTTATACTTAAATTCAATTTAACCCATTCTTTCGATAAAACAAAATCAAATGGATTAGATTGAATCAATAATTTTGATGGATGAATGACTAATGGTACATCTAGTGTTCCTCTATCAGGAAAAAAAACACAATTTTTTCATCTTCACTCTTTTCTCTCACAGGTCACTGTCATGCCTGCTTTGTTGCTGAACATTTGTCTCCTTAAATACAATATATATAGTTTAAAATTAATTAGGACACCTAGTGTCACATATTCTCAATTTTATTTTCTAGACTAAGGTATCCTTTACGGTAACATTACTATTGTATTAAATTTTAATAATCATAATATATATTATTATAGTATAAAGTTTTATTAAATAATATACTATAATAAATTTTAACAGCTAAATTAAATGGTGCATACCTGCATGATTAGATGCAAGCCAAGTTGACGTATAATTACTTTTATTTGATTGGAACTTAATTTTGTAAAATAATTGATATTTTAGTGCTATCAATCAAAGTTAATTTTATCCTAAAACTCATGTTTAAACTAACATAGTAAATTATAGCTTTTATTTTGAGTTAAAAAACTTATACTAATAATTACTTGTAAGAGATAAATTTTTAAACATAAATTATACAATTTTAAATTTATTTTTATATAATTTATTTTTTTCAAATTCAGATTTACAAGTACCTCACACAAACAACTATCGTGTAACATTGTGAATAATAGTACGAAGTTGACGTCATTCTTGTGCTACAGACGAAGTACTTGTTTTTCTTTTTCTTGTTCGCAATTCTTTCTAGATGATTGGGTGATTATATCATATCAAATTTTGTTTTCCTTCAGAAATTGAATAAAAAGAAAAAGTGTGCAAAATTTTTCACTTTTATATCAATGGATTAAGACTCAATATTGAATAGAAGAATTTAATCAGATGAGATGATGAACATGAATTCAGCGATTGATTGCTTCAGGAATTTGTGTACTATTCAATATTTTCAAAAATTTATAAACATATTTTTTTAGTTTTACTTATAATAAATAAATAATTAAATCATTAAAACAAATACAAAATACTTATATATCATAGATTTATACTATATTTTAAAAAATATTCATAATATTAAATAGTAATATTGATGGCTTACATGTTAAATAAATAAATATGCCTACTTATATAAATAATAAGTGAGTATTTCATTAGTACAAAATTCAAAATAAATAAGAGTATAAAAAATAATATGTTTATGAATATTTTTATTTTTTATAATTAAAACAAAAAATTAATCATTATTTATTATAAACAAAACCAAAAACAGTACTAGGCAACATTCAATTTGCCTATCTTTTCAAGGTGGCAATTCAACCTCCTTTTAAAATTAGTAATTTCAATGCTATCCTTATTGTTTGTCTCTTAGTCACATAATGCACTTTGTATTTTGTATAAAAGCATGCTATTCTAAATTTAATCTTACTTTCTCGTATATAGTTAGAACATATTGTAATACAAGATGAGCACTAACATGTGTTCTAAAATATTAACTAAAAATTTTATATTATATCTTTTATCATAAAATATTCTTATAAATTATTGGTGAACCCTTCTACACGTTTCTTATTTCTGAAAAGCATGACAAATCCGAATTGGATTCGCCTGAAACTACTTACATATTCATAGCAGATGTACAATGCCATGCTTCGTTGTTTATATAGATCATCAATCATTAACATGCTTTATTGCCATTATGGCTTAATGAAAAAATATTATGGATTATTTTTCCCTCTCTCTTCTTCCAAACGCACATATAAAATATTTAATGTAACCATACATTAAGGTTTCTAAAAATTTAAATTTAGATATGTTTGGGATATGACACAAAACTAATGAACTAAAGATCAAAGAAAATACTACATGTTCCAATGGAGTGTCCTATGGTTTGTCTTTCTGTTCACGCATGCTGACTCCTCTTGGCTTTTGTTCTGTGTTAGATTTCTTTTGCTCAAACATGAAAATACCAAAATCTGATGTCAACTTCCATTAGATTTGTTTACAATCTAATCTCGTAAAAGATAAATCATATTTGTACTATGCAAACAGTGAGTTGGGGAAATGTGCTAATCTTATTAGTATATTGAGACAGTGTTAAGAACGATCATCGATTGGTGAAGACTCAAATACTTCACTTTTACACACTCTCTTCCCTCGCTTCATGTGATCACAGTTCTTTTAGTATACACTCATATTCTCATTATTTTACCCAGAAATGGGTCCACCCCTAACTCACGTCACGTGTAACTTTAACTTTGCTTTTTTAAATCAACGTAATCTTTAAACCTGTTTTTACTTGATAAAATATATAAAACACAACCAATGAATGTTCCATTTATTTTAATAATTACCATAGCTTGAATTTTGTAGGCGACATAGATGAAAGAAAAATGACTTAAGAATCTTAAAAATATAATTGTTCTAACATGAATTTAAAGAGACACAATAAAAATGTAATATTTTTTATTAAAGTTATAAAATTTAATTAAAAGTTAACATGATAATGTCTTATTATAGTAAAGATATTAAAGAATCGTAAAAAATAACCATATACTATAATACAAATGAATATCTTTAGAAAGTGTCAACAGTGGAAACTTTAGAAAGCTAGAAAATCAAAATTTTTAACTCCAAAAAGGGGGAGCATCTTCCTCTATGCAATCTCACCCAGAGAGTAATAATAACGAGAAAGAAAGAAAAAAAGTTGAGGAATGAGGATGATTAATCATATTCTTTTCGAGCTTTATGTTATGTCAAAGCGATATAGTTCAATTCTACCAGTGATTTGATTTTGGTTCTTTCAATGGGAAAAGGACACGATAATTACAGAATCACCCCCCAAGGGGGTAAGTGCGTTGACGGCGCGTGAGTTACAAGAATCAACGACACATGAAAAGTGGTGAAATTGACGCTTTCACAGTGCAGAATAGCAGACAGACGTAGACACAACGTTACTCAACAAAACCAACCTCTGTTTTCGGTGGTTGTCCCCATAACATAAATATTATTATATTATTTGGTTTTGACCAATGCTAGGGTGCGCCCGCGGTGTTCCGTTTGTCTCTTTAGTCTTATCCTACGCACCCTTCACTCACTCACTCTTCCCCTTCTTATCCCTACACGCGCCTTAATGGCACGAGATTGCAGCTTTTTAGCAGAAGTAGCATTGTTTGGCTGTGAATTGAGAACGTTGCAGTGGGTCTTTGCTTTTGCTTTGTGTTATGGTGGGTCCGTCGTCGTTTTGCAGTATCAAGGGTTGCTTTCTGCTTCAGTGTTGTCGTGGGTTTTGCAGAGTTGTTCCCATGTCTTTTGTGGATCACATTATTGTACCTTGTTCCCTCATGTGAGAGTGAGCTTTTCATAATGGGTACTATTTGGGGAATACAAAGATCGTTTTTTTTTTTTTTTTTTTTTTGGGTTGGTGAGGGAATGTGAAGTTTCTGAGCGGTGAAAGAGAGGAGGAGAGAGAGAGAGAGAGAGAAGGGTGTTAAGCATTGAATGATTCTTAGGCTTTGAACAATGTAGAGAGAAATTCGGTGTTTAGGAAGTTGGTTTTGACTTTTGGTTTTTATTTTAGTGTCGGTTGTTTTGGGAAGTGTTGCAGAAATGAATGATTCTGCAGTGAAGAGTTTAGCTATCTCGGAGAAGAAGGTGCAGAAACCTGGTGGTTGTGTTGGCATTTTCTTTCAGCTCATTGATTGGAAGAGAAGACTCTCCAAGAAAAAGCTCTTCTCTAAGAAGCTGCTGCCTCCTGGTTAGTTTGTAAATCTATCCTTATATCCTATAATATAAACTTGAAATGTCACTCATAAAGATTTGAGGGGTTGTTCCTAGTTTGTGGAGACTGATGTATTTGTTTTGATCTTTGTTGCTGAGTGTGTATCAGCTCGTGCAAAGAAATTTAAGGGAGATGAAAAGATGCCAAATTCCAAGCTTCACTTGGTAAGGCTTTTATGCTTGAGTGATTGTGTAGTTTCCTTATTTGGTTTTGTTTGATATTTAACACTTCGTGTTTTTTTGGGTTTTGTGGCTATGTTTCGATTGCAGATTGCCAATGAGAATAGTGGAGGTTTCCCAGGTTCTAAAAAGGGTGGGAATCATGGTGTAGATGTAGAGGCAAAGAGTGAAATGCGAGTTCCGAGTCTTGTAGCTAGGTTGATGGGTCTAGAATCTATTCCAGCTGCACAGCGAGATAAGTCCAAGAAAGCCTTTTGTTCTGATGATTGTGGTGATGTGATGAAGGAATCTCTGGGTAACCATTGTGAGTTGGATAAGCAAGGTGTGGATTCGGAAATGGGAATTGTAAAGCATGATTCAAGACCTCAGAAGCTTCAGAAAACTGGGGTGTATGAGAGAAGGGCAGTGACTAGGTTTGGAGCTGAGGCCCTGCAAATTAAGAATGTTTTGTCCCGAGCAAGAAAGTATAATCACCATCACCCAAAGCTTGCTTCTCCTTTGAAGAGCCCCAGAATTCCTTCTGGAAAGAGTGGTTCTAGAAGCTCTAGACTAATAGGAGCTGCTACTAAGATTTTGGAACCTGGATTGCAAACCAGTAGAGCCAAAGGTTCTCTTACATACCATGCTTCCAAATATCCTCCAAAGACTGACATTGCGTCAAATGGTGTGGATGAATTGGAAACCAGTAGAGCCAAAGCTTCTCTTACATACCATGCTTCCAAATATCCTCCAAAGACTGACATTGCGTCAAATGGTGTGGAAAATAGGTCAGCAGTTATGCAAAATGAATCCTGTTATGATGCAAGCTCGGCCAAGCCATTGACCGGGCAGGCTTCATGCAAAAGTTGTGGTAATTTGGTTGATGTTGTTGACTGCAAGTTTGAGGTTGGGGGGCAACCATCTGTTCCTCCACCCCTTGTATCAGATGTGATCGCTGCTACCTCCATGGTATCTTCGCATAAGAAGGGGAAGTCATCTACTCCCTCTCGTGGACATGAAAGAGATGTAGTTCTTCTGACAAGTCGGGAAAAGCTCATATCTCTTGTTACTGAAGAAGAGGGAAAAAACATTGCACAACAGTCATGGAATGAATCCACTACCAGAAGAATCCCAATGGCCCATGAAAGTCCAGCTAAATGGAATTCATCATGTCAACGACCATTTAGGACCACAGAGGATGATGCATCTTCTTTTGCCTTAAAACACAAAACTCAAACACAAGAACAAATGTTGAGCAATGAAAGATTTTCATCTGGATCTACGATGAGTAATGTGCAAGTAAAACGAGTGTCTTCTATGAGCAGTGTGCATGGGACTAAAGACTTCGTTGCTTTGAATAGAAGCCTAAGTGGTCGAACAAGGATGAGATCACCAACAAAAGTGGATAGTTCTAAGTTTGACCTAGAGAAAAAACATTACTATAATAGACAACATAATTCCTTGTGTCATGTAAGGGCATTAGAGAGAAAAAGAAGGATTGCAAATGTCACACAATTTGAAAGCTCGGTGTCTGTCAATTCAGTTGGTGTGAAACAGAGAAATCCTCATTCTGATACACTGGGTGGAAAGAGGAGGGACTTCAATGCAGTCTCCTTGTACAGCTCAAATGCTAAAGATAAACAAGATGGTCTGGGAGAAACTGTTAAGGTTAATGACAAGAAGATCAATGATGTAGTGTCATTTACATTTAATTCCCCCTTGAATCAAAAAATAGAAATACCTGCCGATAAGGAAGAGACAAGCAGTGAAAATGAGAGGAAGACATATTTCCAAAGACCTTCACCTTTGAGAATGGATGCTTTAGGTGCCTTTCTAGAACAAAAATTGAAGGAATTAACTTCTCAAAGAGATGAAGAGTTGGCTACAGGAGCTGCGCCTAAAAAATCAAGTGCTATGATTCTTCAAGAGCTGATATCTGCTCTAAGTTCAGAGCATCTAATCTGTCATGATGGTAGTCATATGTTCAATGAAAATGTTGGCTTCCATGTAAGTCTTCTCTTTTTATACTCTGGCTGCACCTTAGAGATTCGTCTCTAACCATTTTACCTTTTTTTAATCAGTTATCTATTGATAATATACAGTACTTCATTTTCATTGTGAATTTGTATTTGTTATCTGGATGACTTGCTATACAGTGCATAGTGTGAGTGTCTGAAGTTTTGATTTTTATTTAGTAACAAACTATAGAGCTGCACATTCCACAGTTTTTTTGTATTTGCTACTATTTATGTATCAGTAGCAATGACAGAATGTTGCATAGTACCAGGGGGGGAGGGATCAAATTTTACCCATTGTTTAAGACTTAGTCCAGTTGTTTTGCTCAATGGATTTTTAGACCAATGGATCATATTGTACATCTAGAAAAGACATGTTCAGCTGCTCTGGGTCAGAATTGGTTAACTCAACAGACAAATTGAGAGTTGTATGTAGGGAGTATTCAGGTGAATGAAGGCATGTTTTTTTGCTATATCATAGCAATTATTTGCATCATATTGATGGAAGTTGGCTAAAACTGTGAAATGGATATCCAAATGGATGCTTTCAGCTATGTCAAGTGAAATGTACTCTTGATGATATAGTATAATGATGTTGATAGAACTCAGAGATCTGACAAGAGTGTTACATAGTGCATCTTCCTTTTTGGTGTATAAATTATGCTCAACTATGACATAAGTAAGTACCTAGAGTAATTTGGATGGTAAAAGTTACCAAGCATCAAAGGGTTTTTATTTTTATTTTTAATAATTCTCATATGCATTTGGTCCCATTTTGTGTTTAATTAGCACCTTTGGTTGTAAATTTCCATTTTTCAGACGCTGTGAGCTGATTATCATTATTTACCTTAATAAAATAGAACAAAATTTCCTGAAACAAGCATATTTAATTACAGTGCCTTGAGCTTTGTTCATCTTAGTTTGAGTATGAATGCATGATCTCAGTTAACTGTAATATTATATTAAAATTTTTACTGTGACTGGTGGAAGTGTGGAACAACGAAATTCTGACAATTATACCTGACTTTATCTTTTATTTTATTTTTCCTTTCAGCATGGAGCAAAATCAGAAAGGTTATTAGGAACTTCTTGCAATGGTAATCATCTCAGTCCTGGATCTGTTTTGGAAGCTTCCTTTTCTTCCAGTAGTCTGGATGAAAGCTCAGGTGAACTGGAATTTAAAAAATAGTGATTTATATAATTTCTAAATATAATTTATTTAATCCTTCTATTGTTTGGGCCAAGCTTTTCTTGATGTTTGTGATCCTTGATTTAATTCCAGGGCATCATGGTATTCACCCTGACTCCATGAATTACTCCTATGGTCAATTGGAACAATTTGAACATGATACTGAACTTTTAGATTCTGCAACATCCTGTAACAAAGGGAGGGCAAGTGAGATACTGACTGATCTTGTCAACCAAATTCCTATGACATTAGAAAGTTTATACTCTTTTGGGACACAATTGACAAGAAGCAAGCTCAACCATATGAAGGACATTCTCTTGAATGCTGAATTGGTGCTTGGAATTACAACTGATTGCAGAGAGGATGAAGTGCCACAGCTTCTAGTTTATCGGTTTCTTGACAAGGAGCTTGACACTATGGTAGGTGATGCTATGTGGACAGTTAATTGCTTTGTTGGTTGTGAGGACTCTAAACATAGAAAGGAGCTCAAGGGATTTCTGCTTGATTGTGTTATAGAATATCTAGAATCAAATTGCTGCCAATATTTCAACTCTGGATTTAAGGCATGGACAAAGCTGCCATTATGCATGAAAGCTAAGATGTTGGCTCAAGAGGTTAAAAGGGAAATCAACAAGTGGTTATGTATGGTTGGGATGGTACCTGATGAAATAATAGAATGGGAAATGAGCCACTCCTTGGGGAAATGGACTGATTTTGATATTGAAGCATTTGAGGCTGGTGTTGATTTAGATGGGGACATACTTCAAATTTTGGTCGATGAAGTTGTTGAAGACCTTGTATGTTGCAAGCAGGGCTTCATTTCCTTGTAAAATTCCTCTCAGCTGGTGGTCATGCAACATCTCACCAGAGAAAAATGTTCTGATCTAAAACAAGGCAAATTTTTTGTACAAATAGGATTATGGTATTTCTAATGGAGGCTTATTTTGGCTCTTTGAATTAGTGGACAAATAAAGTCCAGTGACAATGCTTTTTTATTATTATTTATTTTTTCAATTATATATGTCTGTGATTTGCTTAAAATAGCCACCAAAATTTCATTTAATGCTTTGATACCTAACCAAACCTAAAATCAATTCAAAGACGGAAGTTGATTGAAATGAATCACATCGTGAAATCTCGGGCAAAAATAAGTCAATCTTGATTCTTGAACAAAAGTGCTCCACATTTGAGGATTTACTCTCTTGATTTGATAAGAGATAAACTTTTATTTCATAGCACAAAGAACAAAGTCACTCCAGAACCCAAATGAATAGAGGAATATTAAAACTGTTCTTCCTATAATAACAGTGTCATGGTGATCCATACTCACCCCCAAATCAAACTTACTACCTTCACACTTACAAACAATAATGTAAGCTCCTCCCAAAACTAAAAAAAATGAAAAATGAAGGCAGAAAAGTCACAAAATAAAGAAATCGAAGTTTAAGAAACTCCATTTCCAAACTCAAAACTGTCTATACCCCAAAACAGTCTTTTTCCCCATCACTCTGCTACTATTCCTTATTCCTCTACTTTCACCATTGATAGCATTGGCAGTAGCAGAGGAAAAGCTCTTGAGTTCATGAATGGTGGCATAGCTCTTCCTTGCAGTGAGAATTCCACCACCCCTTCTCTTCTCTCCTGCATTTGCTGATTTACTTCCTCTTGAACTTGACAAAACCCCATAACCACTCTTGGATGGAGGTGTCAACTCCATCACTGTAGGTAGCATATTCACCATTGGCTTTCGATTCTCCTTCCTCAACGCTGCACCCAAATCTGGCACAGACTGAGCAACAAGAGAAGACCCTTTTCTCCCAGAAGCTTGAAACTTCACCTGTTTTCTCGGTGGGGTTGGAACCTTTGCTTCTTCTTTTTCTACTTCTTCATATTCTTCTAGTTCTTGTTGTCTCAGGTACTTCATGCGTAGCTTTCTTTCCCTCAACTCAGCGTATGCTTCATATCTGGGTCCTCTTTCCATGTCCATCGTGATGAAGCTAAGAGGGAGAAGAGAGTTTTGGTTCAGAAAAGTGGGGTTTGTTTGTTGCAGAGAGACGTTGGTCTCTGATATTACCATGTTCTGTTGTAGCACTATTGTTTCTTTCATCAATAGTGTCTTTACTTTTTCTTCGCCTTATCTCAACCTTTCACTACTTTTGCTACTAAAATATTTGATTTTGTAACGGTCTAATTAATCTAACTCAGAGAGAGAGAGAAAGAACCCTTTTTGGTTCCAACGTTCTAAATGGGAAGGGTGGTCCCACGGCATTGAAGAATCCTAGTTCCATTCTGCACGTTGGAATTCGGATTATATATTAGTAATTAACCTTAGGAGCATTAGACAAGAAATTAAAAATAATTATTTTGTTTAAATATCGTTGAACCTTTACCATTTTAAATTACTTTAAAATATTTAATGTTTTTTTAACTAATATTCTTCTTTATTAACAAAGACTCTAAAATTGGGGTATTTGCCATATAACTTGTATTTTTCTCTTCATATTGAAGCAGCAACTACATTTCAATGCAACGCAAAAAAGAAAATCGTAAACAGTGCATCAGGACACCGGTTAAGAAATAAAAATAAAAAAAGCATTTTATTAAAAATATACGAAAAAACACTTATTCTTATGTATTTTAATGAATTTTAATAAAAAATATTATTTATTTATTCTTTAACTGCTGATCTTAAAGCACTGGTCAGCAATGCTCAAAAAGAGTACAGAATACAATAGAAGAAAGTGCAGAGAGCAGGAGACTAATTTACTGTTCGAGTAATATCGGCAGTCCATTTTTCTCAATCAAAACTTAACAATAACACCAGCGGCCGGAAAAAGAAAATGGGGAAAGATCAAAGTTTTATCTATACAATAAATGGATAACATCGCACTAAGAAGCCCACGGGTGCAAGGCGTTTCATTGATGTTAAATTCACTTAGGAAAAAAAAAAAACTTTATATTATATAGAGTTTATTATTTGTGTACTTGTTCCCCAAATAATTGATCTATTCTCTTCAAACCTAACAGCCTAAAATAATTTAGACTAAAGAACATTCATAACTAAAGATTGCTTATAGATCATGAGTTTTAATTTATTCATTTATTTAATGTCTTAATTATCCGAATCAACGGCACTAGTACCATAGACAATGCTAAACTAACAGGTATCAAAATTGTTGAGCTCTTGGGGTATTGTGATGTTTGTTTGGGGCCTCTCTTGTTCATCCATTATTATTTAGCTTTGCAAATTAGCAGAGGTGCCCAAGGGCAAAGGTTGCTTCTACACTCGCTACCTTTTGTTGTGGACTGATTCAAACCACAACATATTTTTCTCACCATGAAGCAGCCATCTGTCAGAGCCAGAATATGACCACCACTAGTGTGCTTTACAACAATGCATTGGTCATGACAAGTTTGTTGAGGTAAAATTGCTAGCATTCACAGCAATATAAACCATTGGATTTCATCTATGCCAAAACTGGCTGTTCATTTAAGTCATATATTAAACTTTATGGTACTTGTATTTTTGCCCTAAATTGAATCTACTGACTTGATGGTCAAACCCATTCAGCACTAGGGTCCTTACGGCAGCAACTCCTTGCTCCAATGAAGCATCAATCTGTCATTATTTAAAAAGAAAAAAATTGCCATCAAATTTCGAATAAGACACAAAGGCACATAATTTGTAAAGATATAAAGCTGTGCGACAAATACCAAATTCACTATTCTTCCTATTGCTTTTAGAGTCTAGGCTAACTGTCAATATTTGCATTGTTGGTTCAATTTTTTCATATATTTTCTAATTATGCAATTACTTTCAAATGCGGTACAGGACTAAGTATAACCTGCTTTCGTTCCACTGAACTGAACTTTTGTAAAAGATAAGCTTTTAAATCCATAGTTCCAGGAGGATTTCCAATTCCTACAAACACAAGTTTGAAATATAGTACTGCTCAAACAACTGAAGAAACCATATCAATTTATAAAGTGACAGTAGACAAGAACCAACCAATTGCAAGTCGAGGAAAATCACGGGAACTATCCAAATGGTCCATCACGTTTTTCAATCTGTAACAATTTAACAACAGTTATAGAATTTATGATTTCCCCGCACATTGAAAGGTACAGCTAGTTCCCAATGAGTTGAAAAAAAAATGTTGGTGATACTGGGATGACAGTCTTAGTGTCTTATCCATAAAATCATTCAAGTGATGAAACAGAAATAATTTATAACAGAAGTTCTACTTTGGAGTTGAAGGAACTAATGAACCTTAACTTTTGATATCTTAATTTCTGTCTTATGTCAACAAGTATATGGAAAGTAAGTTTACTGTCTCACTATTTGTAAAGTTTGGATTACTGAATTATCAATTCCAACATTTGAAATTATGTTCTGTTCTGGTATATCAAAAGTCTTGATGAATCGAACAAGCATTACCCATTGTGATGCCCATGTCCGCCTTTAGGTTGAAGCCTTAAAACACCATTTGGAAGGCTTGTTTCATCGTAAACCTATGTAAAAATTTAAACAAACTTATGGTCAAATAAAGATTTCAACAAAATTGTAAATTGTCACTAAACCACTTTTAAAAAGGAGTAAAGTCAGAAATACTTACTGGTAGAATATGACGCAAGGGTACTCGATAATATGCAGCAAGAGGCCCCACCTTTAAAAATTCAAAAAAGAAAAAAAGAAAAAATCAGGAACAGATAACACAAAAAGCGACAGATCATATACCACTTTTTTTAATGAAATAAACAATTTCACATCAGCATGTTCAAATAAGAATGAATTAGATAGTTGATCCATAATCTGTTTCAATAAGTCTCCCTAGCTACTATGTATGATGAAAACTAAAGTATGTTTGTATGTGAGTTTCATAGAAAATCTATCTATAATGCATGATGAAAACTAACCGATTCCCCACAAAAACTCATGTATGTTTGGGGCTTTGCCAACAAAACTGGTACTTCTCCAATAGAACCTGAACAACAGATCACAGAAGAAAATATAAGTTAGAGCTACGATTACCATGAATGTGAAGTGAGTAACAAGGAGGGGAAAAAAAAATCAATGTTAGAGGAAGATGCACCTATTCCAATCAAGGCTTTAGACTGTATTGCATTCATGGGAATCCCTTCTGCTTGAGAGAGACTATCAATTATTTCAAATCCAACCTAATAGAGAAAAAAAGGTATAAGATTCTCTACAATAGAAGAGTATTCATTATTCAAGTACTTTCACAAATAATTGAATACATAGAAAATAGTAATTACATTGTGCCTAGTGCCATGATATTTGTTTCCGGGGTTGCCCAAGCCAACAATGAGCCAAGGAGTATATTCCACTTTAGCACCATTCTTTGTCTCTGATACCGAACAACAAACAGAAAAACTTGTTCTAACCGAAGGCTTTTTCAAATAGCGAGGATAACGAAGGTTACTGGTGGGGGTTAAACAAAAGCTTGAAGCAGATGCAGCATGCAACATTGATCTATTAAAAAATGAAAGGATATAGCACGAGTAAGAAACATCCCATCATATCATATAATTGACAAAAACAACAAAGAGGTATCAACAAAGCAGAATCTTCGTAAAACCACTGAGAACTTAAACATTACACACTACGCAAACGTTCATAAACAGAGATAATTCAGCCACAAATGAGTATTAAGATTCAGCTGAAGAAAATCTAAGCAGCTATTCTCCATGAAATGCTTTCGCAACCTTTTCCAACCGAACGCAAGCAAAACGATGAACACCAACAACGTAAGATTATTAACAGACCAAACACGGAACAATTTCGCAAAAAATAAAAATAAAAATGGAATAGGTTAACAGAAAAGTTGAAAGTAGTTTACAGAAAAACGAATGCAGAGCGTGAAATGGAAAACAAAGAATTTCTGAAGAAACTTACCTAACCAGATAGAAAGATAGATAGTAGAAATCGCAGAGCTCAACTTGGGGAATTTTTTCTTCTTTGTTTTGGTTTTGGCTTACGTTCTATTTCTAGTCGCCGATAATTATTAATCATTTATTCAAAAATATCAATTATTTTTAAAATTTTGTGAAAGGTAATTTCGACCGTAACGTAACTATTAAGAGGTTTTCACTTATTATTATAATATTTAATATTATATTAAATATATATAATAGATAGTAAAAATTAATGATTCGTTTAATATTTATTTTTTATTATTGCATTATAAAATGAAGAATGTTTTATAACTAATAATAAAAATATTTTTTTGTTAAAATAAATAATAAAATAACATAAAACACATGTATAAAAGTTATTTGTAGTCTATAAAAAATAATTAAATAAAAATAAATGCAGCAATTGGGTCAGTTTGGGCATATTATCGGCAGCCCAGTAGATCCCCAGACACAGTAGCGTTTTGGGTTTTCCATGGATATTGGATAGGGACGAGGGAGGAATGAAAATGGGCTTAAGGTTGGCCCATAGCTTGGCAAGGATAATTTATTGTTACACTCCCTCATTCTGAAAATTTAATTTTAAGATTTAAAAATAATCTTATAAAGAATTCATTTTAAAATTAATTTTAAATATTTTTTTAACTTTTAATATTTAGAATACATTAAATTCTCTTCTGAAAATCAAATGTTATAAATTATTCATGAAATTTAATTTATAAAGGCAATAAGAAGAATGATGGCAAAGAATTGCTAACTAAAAATTGAATATTTATTACAAACCCAGAGAACTATAATTAACTAGTCTATTTGAATGTTATTCTGAAATATAAATTTATATATTCAATAATGTAAAATGATTAAATTAACTTTTAAAATTCTAATTTTATAAATAAATTAAAGAAGTACTAGTTAATGGTTAACTAGTTGGAATTATATTCCTCACAGCAGCATAAGTCAAATTGAGGAAATAATATGAGAATGTTATTTTCAACTAAAGTTTTTACAACATTTAATTTTTTATCCTCTCTTAACTATTTTACTCATCTTATTTCATATTTATCTTTATATTTTGGAAAAAATATTGTTAGAATTTGAACTAAGAAAGAGATTATTCATAATTTTTCTGGCAAACCACAGTAAATTGGATGCGGACAATTGCCGAGTTGACAACAGTGTAGTGAATCAACTTTACAAATGATGTTCCTCTTAACCACATGTTTTTGCAATATTTTTCACTTTTTTCTTTCAAAAGTAACTTAGCTTAGAGATGATTCGATTGTGAAAATTAATGAGGAAACAGTCCAAAGTACGACACTTATCAGATGTTTCCTTCCTTCGTGGTTTGCTAGTGTTCTTCCTGTACTTTGGCCCTCTTGTAAATGAATAAATAAATAATCAAACTTATAAGTCTTTTCTTCTTTTTTCCTTGACGGAGACTACTTTTCTTGTATATGAATGCAATCAGAAAATTAAAAGAAGAAAATACAATTATTTGTTATATCTGCATGAAAAATGTACTAACAATTATTTAAATAATTTTTTAGTCTCTTAAAATATGATGTGTTTTTGTTTGGATTCTGTAAAACTCATTAATTCTTAAAAACTAGAAAAAGAAACTTTTAATCTTTGACAAAAGATTAAAATCACGTCATTTAATTTTTTTGAAAAAATCAGTAGAAATTAAACCTAAAATTCATAATATTTTCATGATTATATATCTAAACCTAGCTAAAAATTATTTCTCAAGAACTTTAACTACTTAAACAAATTTACATTGGCATACAACTCAGAATAAGAAAGTTGGTACATTATATATGACACTGAATTGATTCAAAAGTCTAACTCACAACTCATAGGCTAAGATGCAAATCCAGACCGAACCCTAGCTCACCGCAAAAACCACCACCACCACCACCGTCGCCGCCACCAAGCCCTGAAAGAGGGTGGCCACGGCCATCAGTTAAAGCTGTTGTGACAGTGGCAGAAGAACCACGAGCATAGACACGTCTACCGGGAGCTAGAAAGGTTGGGGAATGAAACGCAGAAGCACTTGCGTGCGTTGTGTATAGCCATGGCTGATACATGATTGCATTTTGAAGATGTGAAGAAACAAATAAGCCACGTGCAGCTTGCATTTGAGCACGTTTCAAGAGTTGTCTCTCTTTCTTGTGTGCGTTTTGGTGTCCTCCTAATGCCTGTGAATTCGCGAACTCTCTGCGGCAGTATTGGCATTCGTATTTTCTTCCATCGCGAGGGTTGAAAGGCTCTGACTCTAATGGAGAATAGTGTTGGTTTGAACCTTCTTCATCATGAGTGTGATCTTTTGAGGACTTGTACTGAATGTTGATGCCAAAGAGCTTTAAAGATGGGGTAGTGGTAGTGTTGGATTTTGCATGGTATTCAACTTCAGCCATGAAGAGTTTAGATCTTGTGATTATTTGGGGGGCAAATTAAAAAATGATTCACCAAAATATGTGATTAACTTAAGGTGGGCATGGATACATATCTATGTGAACTATAAAGTATTTAAGATCCTTTTATAATAGAGTTAAAGTGCATACTCGGACATTATCATTTGTTGGAAGAAAAAGGTAATGAGTGGCAGAGTTTATTGTGTAATTTTCAACGCAAGAGAAAACGAAAACAAGAGCAGTTTATAGATATGGGATTTTCAGTAAATGATTATATATTATTTAGTTTTTGTTTATCTAGATTATCTGTTAAAATCAATTTTGTTTGAATTGGGTAGGACAACTTTAAAATGTAAAATTTTATTTTTAAATATTTAATACAATTAGATTTATTGGAACTTGAAATTGAGAATATGTTAAGTTTAATTTCTATTTTAATTAATAGAAAGAAGCTAAATATTATATATAATTCAAAAATAATTTGTAGAAGGCCACGGGAGTCCTATTATTATAAATATAAAAAGAACTCTTAACAAATGAGGGTGGTTTAGGCGAAAAAAACAAAAAGGTATCTGCTCGTTTTCTGTAAACGCTAGATACGTTAGTAATCTAGCTTCAACATATATATAATCTATGCGATAAAATATTAAGAGGATCAACTGCAAACAGGGAAATGATAACTAAACATTAAAACGACTATTTGGCATGATTACCGCTCACATAATTAATAGTTAAGCTGATATTTGTTGGTTGTTTTTTAAAGAGTTATTTTCATTCTCATAAAAAAATTATTTATCATATTCAAATTAAAGCATACGAACTGCCAAATACGTGCAGTAATTGACAGCAAGTTTTTTCAGCACTCACAGTAATCTTAATCATTACAGTAATCTTAATCAACTCAAACAAAATTGTCTTAGACAAAGGATATCAGAAGTCTAGAGATCAAAGTATACAACATATCACCCTACGGTGCCATAGGTTAAGCGAGGAAGTCAACCATTGAGAGTGAAGGAACTGAGGAATATTGAAATGATTCAAGTGGATTGAAGGTCCACAATGACGTATGCTGATTGGTGAATGCTTGGTATCTTAAGCATGTTTGCGTGATTGACGTTGAATTAGTCACTAATTATTAGGACAAAATCTATAAGAATCTTACTAACTTTCACCAGTTGGGTTCAATGTATGAGGATGATTTCATCACAACACATGCTTAATAGAATGCTTCACAACAGTATCGGAACTGATCAATGAGCACAATCGCACCACACGACACACCATACCAAATTGCTATCTTTAACCAACCTTCACCCAAAAAATTTGCTATTTATAAACAGTGTTAGTATGTAGATTATTTTCAAATTTGTAATTAGAATTATATGTTGGGAATGTTTAAAAATTCCTAAAAGATACCTTAATTAAGGGTTAACAAAATTAAAGTGTCTTACTCAAACATAAATTTACTACATTAAAAAAATAAAAGTTTTCATACATTTTTTTAAGTAACGAAAAATATTTAATAAAGTATTTTTAAGTAATTAGGTAACCAAATAATTAATGTATATTTTTTAAAGTGTTTAGAAAAACTCAACATAATATTAGTGTACTAATTTTATAGTTTTTAATGAAAAGATTCAATTAATTAATTGCTTAATAAAGTGTGTATTAAAAACACATTAAAAAAATTCTATAAACACGAATTTAACATAAAAATTACAATTAGGATAATTTAAATGAACCTAGATCTGTAACAATTCAGAAGTAAATTAAAACACGAAAAAAAAAAAACACTTTAAAGCAGTTAGCAAAATCGTATATATAACCTTAATTTCTCATATTTTTTACACAAGCATTCTATTGTTTGTGGAACTTATGAAGTCTCTACAGAAGTTTTATATATAAAATTAAAGTTTTGAATAATTATATATATAAAATTAAATCTATTAATGATGGTATATAATACACATTATAATATCTGAATATAATTCTAACTATATATAATTGAATAATTATATTAAATACATATTTGATGAGAATCTGTTAGTCATAAGCGATTTTTATTTTTAAGTGAGTGTATAATATATTAATATCTCACATTAGTAACTGTCTAATAAAACAACAATTATAAACCTAATCAGATGAGATGCAAGAATCTTTCACTAAACACATAAAATGACTCAACTTATCACAGACCATTTATACTAAGAGTTCAATCACAAAAATTTATATAATTAATAATAATTATATATATTTATTTTATATCATAATTAATAATACTATAATTATAATAATTTAATAATACTAATCTACAAATTAATATAAATATTAATATTAATGTAAAAAAATGTAACAGTACCTACTGTTTATCATTGCCTGTAATATGACAACGACTTAGCAATATGCTGAAAAGGCAGCGACAAAGATGCATGATGCATGGTGAAAAAAGTTTAGGATGTTTTGCAGGGCATATTACTTTGTTCAACCACCTTAAATATATCTTGGTGGATTTGCATGTTGGGTAACAGGGACAGACAATTATTGAAACACGTTGATCATAATCTAACTTCATGGCTTTCATTATGATATGTTGTCCCTCTCTTAGGCAGCTATGTTTATGTTTCTCCAATCAATTCTATTTTACATAAATGATGGAGTAGATGTAAATATTATCTACGCAAAACCATCCATGTTTTTGTCCCAATATACATCTTCTGTATGCTTAGGACCGGATCTAAAAGATATTCTAAATAAAATTTTATCATATATTTTCTCATTTTCTTTAATAGTTTTTTCATTACTTTGTAAGTAAATATTAAATATAAAATACACTTAAGATATTTTTATTTAATAATTACGAAAATTAATTAAAGTTATTCCTCTAAAACAGGTTAAAAGTGACAAAAGTAAAGAACTGAGTGCAAAGGGTATATAACTGATTAAGGAAATTTCCAAGCGAAAGCCCGTTAGGTGGGGAAAATCAATATTGTTCAAAAGCACAGGGCAATGATGTTTCACATATGTAATGCATGAAAACTAGCTCAGTGAAAAGAATAGGAAGAGCCACAAAACTCTCCCTTTCTCTTTCAATCTTAAATCTTAATGCATGAATGCATTATATTGCATAGGTTATTAAAAAAATAAAAATTATTTATTAATTTTTTAAAATGTATTGTTTTTATATTTTTGAAAAAATTTAATTTTAAAAAGTTTATCTTGCTTGATCTATAACAATGATGTAGTTCAACCAAAAAATTCAGTATATGGTAAAAAAATTGATATATAACAATTATTTAATTTTTTATGTAATCATTAAAGACTAAAAGTGTTCAACTTTAAAATATCAGATATTAAAACAAAAAAAAAATGGTCACAAAAATATAAAAAGCAAATTACATATTTAATTTATTAGATAATTATTTTCACTCTAGTACCTATCAGCGAACTCTTTAGAGGGTTACTGTTTTTTTTTCCTAGATTATGAGTAATCGTGAAATGACTACATTACTTAAATCATTAACAATTAATACAGTATATTATATTTTAGTTTTTTATACATAAAATTTCAATAATACACTTTAGTGATACCTTTAAAAATCTACTCTAGTAATACATGTTCCTTCCTGGCGAAACAACTGTCTTCAAATTTCTGATCAGGCGTCCTTCTGCTGATTTGCTGATGGGGAGAATACCTGCAAAGGGCACTCCGATGGTAAAGTCAGGATTCGGTTCTGAACAATAAATATTATTTAATGATTAGAAGTCAACCCCTTACATGTATTTCTTATCTTCTTTTTATAGACATTCTATTGGGCTAATGGGCCTGAGTCAGTTTTTATATTGAGGCCCATAGTATTTTGATTATCTTTAATTGGATTATTTACCTTTTAATCCTGACGAGGGGTACTCAGCCTAGTATGCCGAGTAGGTATTCAATTTCTTTTTCCTGAGGTGAAACCGAATTGATTCCTTTCTCAGTACAATACATAAAATATTTTCTATCTTGAAAATTAACACCAGTCATTTTAGGACATTTTTAGCTAGTCCAAATAGCCAAGCTTGGCTAGCCGAGGAAATGAAAGATAAAAAAAAATAAATGTAATGACTTAAATTAATATTAGTTTCAAGTTTAATTCAAGTTTTCCTTATGCAGCATTGGCTTAAAGTTTGTACATATATCATAAACGACAATAACATGTGACCCGAAGCTTAGATTATGCAACCTCTAGAAGGGAAAGACTTGATTCATTTATGGTAAACAAAAATGTTGATTGATGGGGAAGGTTTCATCTAAGTAGGTTAGGCACTTAATTAATTTGGATAAGTCAGCAATTAAGTTAATATGATCCTCCAATAATATACAAATTACCACCTTTTACTCAATGACAAATGGACGGTTTTAGATATTTTGCACGAAGAACAAGTAACGTGAAGACTATCTTAATTTAATTTAATAAAAGTGACAAAGAAAATCGTATTCAATTCTCGTGGATTAGGCCTAAACATTCTAAACTTAAGGCATTATCTGTGAGTTTCAAGTCGGATTATACAAATATGAACACCAGTTTAGCTGTTTAATTTGATAAACATTCGTGGAAAATTTTAGGTGTTTATCTTTCAAGGTAAATTAATAACTAATAAATTGCTTTAAGTATGTAAACAGCTGTATTTTTTTAAAATTTATCATTGAAAAGATATAAATTATCATTTTAAATAAGAAATTGTTCTTAATTTAAGCAATTGTTATTTAAGTTAAATATTAATAAACAGTGAGGTATTGTATGTCAAAATGACTTATAACAAATATATCTAAATATCTTTTTATTAAGTTATGATAAATATAACAATTTTTTTAAAATTTTTTTACAACTTAAGCCAAGGTAATATTTAAAAGTACTTTTTTACAGTACATAAATTTTAAGATATAACAAATATTTCAAGACTAGTAACATTTTAATACTGTTCTTGGCCATTGGAGACAGAGACATTAAGATAATGAAGAATAGAAACACTAATGTTTGTGTTTGTGTATTGTGTTTGGAAGTAAGAACAAAATATGATGTATTGCATCTTATATTGTGTTTGAATATAAAAATTATGAAGGTAGTCTATATAATTTTTAAAAATTATAAGAAATATTTTTTTTTTCAAAAGTTTACTTTTCGTGTTTCTGAAGTTGAGATACAAAACACTGGTTAAACATAACATGTGTCTCTATGTCTTTGCCTCATTATCTCTGTTTCGCAAGCAAATACTACTAAATATATTGAGACTATGAAGGCATGTCATCATCTATTAGGCCCAAGCAAGAGCCTGGTTTCTATATCGGGCTAGTATTAATGGGTCTTATATATTTAAATAAATAAATAAATTACCAAACTTGTGCATATTAAAATAGAACAATAACATTGAAGCTTTTTTATATTAAGTTAATGATTTAAATCTTTTTTAAATAATACCTGTTAAGTAGTTAAAAAAACTAATTATATTTTAAAAATGGATTAAACCAAATACACATTAAATAAGATCGATATATAAATTATATATTTAATTCCATAAAATTATATCATGTATTAAGTAACAATTTGATTTATGTGTTTGACTATTAGACTATATATTTTTTATTCTACCTAAACCAAGAAAAATCTAAAATAAAACGCGTGGATGCTATTATATTAGTGCTTGAATGACAATTATTATTCATAAAAACAATTTATGAAACTTTAGCTACATTTTAATTACCTTAAATGATGTTGAATAACTACTTTGACCTTTGTATAAAACGAAGGGGTTATTTTATGTCCTTTAATGTAATTTTAATTTATTTTTTTTGCTTATAGCTAGATTATGGAGAAAATTATAGTAGACGTGTAGAAAATTATATATATTTATATTTATGGTATACTCTTCTATTTATTATGCCTATTAAATGTTAATCTGATTTTGAAAAGTGGGCGATCAAATATGAATTTTATAACGTTGAAGGAATTAAATAAAAAAGACATATAATGAATGAAATATTGAAAGGCAAATAGATGAATTATATAACAATAAAATATTTACGAAGCTTAAGTTACAATTTTCTTAAGGTAAGAGAATAAATAAAAAAAACTATTCATATTTAAAGAAAGAAAACATCCAATTCAGATCCTAAAAAAACTTTTCACTTAATTTATTTGTTTTTAAAATAAAATCACTTTAAGAATCTAAATAAAATATTTAATTTTTTAGTTATTTTTTTATCATTATATATAATTAGTCATTTGAAAATGAATGTGAATCTTAAGAATGAAAAAAAAAATGAATAAAAGAATCAATATGTCTTACAATTATAATCTTAAGAGTCAACTAAATAATTTTATTTAGGTTCAAATTTTAATCGAATTATTTATTTGATTTATTAATTAATTATTTGGGTATTCATTATTAAATGGAAAAATAATTTAATTTGTTTTAGATTAAAAAGAAGGAAAAGAAAATAAAGTTCTAGTCTATCAAGCCGTCAAGAAAGCAGCATAGAAAAATAAGCCATTCCCACGTGGAAGCACACGTCATTTTAATGCAGTAAATTCAACCTTAACTTTCACGGTTTAAGTTTTATCGGACTTGTCAAAATTTTAAGAGTGTCTTAGATTTGTAGATTCCCTTCACAGTTATTTGGATTGGATAACCATTCTGCTTTGCCTATTGGGTTGGTGTTTTTCTATTTCCCCCTAACAATTTAAGTGTTTTTTGACTTTCTGGATATTGAAGTTTTCAATCAGTTATTATGCAACTCTCAAGTTTTGTGAATTCAGAAACAAAGGGTGTTTGTGGGTTTTGGTGAATTAAGAAGTGAGTCTCAGAGTGAGAAGAGTGTGAGCATGTCTAGTAGAACCAGCTGCTGTGGTTTCAGACCTGGTTCCTTCATTATGGAAACCCAGTTGACTAGTAGAGGAAAGGGTTTTGCTGCCATTTTTGGGTCCTCTACAAAGCCTAAATCACTCAGGGTTCAGGCCTCTGGTAGTTTGTCTTATGTTGAGTTTACTTTGTTTCTTCATTAGCAATTCTCAGAATTTTCTTTAATGCTTGCCAAAGACATGCTTTTCATTATGGTCCCTTCGTTTTGTTGTTTGCTGGATGCCTGCTTGGCCTCATTTTGGTGGCGAGTTTGCTTATTTAATGTTCAATTTTTTGGTTGAACTCTGCAGCAATGTTATTGTTTTATATTAATGTTCTTCCCGTGTACCTGAATTTCCATTCATGAGCGTTTTGTTGAGATTGTTGACTCGGATAATTAGCTGCTTCCTACTAATCAATATGGTCATATGCTTTGGAATTTCCGTAGTTAGAGTTTATTTTGATGTATTATCCTTTGCTGTTGACATCACATCTATGATGTGAATGCTATGAATGTGCTTATGTCCCTCAAATGTTAGAGTAAAATTGGGTTGCAGATGAAGAAGTTGAGGATCTTGTCCCCTCTAATACGGGCAAGCCTTCTGGAACCGTTCTGCCCTATGTTGGTGTTGCCTGCCTTGGAGCTACTTTATTTGGTTATCATCTTGGGTATGGATTTCATCTTTATTTAGTATGCAGATAAATGTAATTATATTGCAGCATATCATATTCTTCATGTTGCCATCTAACTTAAGTGAATGACACGAGCCACTACTTGACGTCTTAAGTTATTGGATGCAAGACACATACTGGAGTCTTACATTGAATTTTCCCTGTTATGGTTCTGATTTTCGTTGATTATAGGTGGGGAACACTGACAATGCTCTCTTTGGTGTAGGGTGGTAAATGGGGCTCTTGAGTACCTTGCCAAGGATCTTGGAATCACTCAAAACACTGTGCTACAAGGTACTTATCAGAAAAGAAATTGTAGATGTTAAAGTAAATACTCTTTCTTGTTCTTTAGCTTGAGTTTTTATGTTGTACAAGGCATATATTCAAACATGGTTTTGTGCTTGTTAATGTTACATTCATATTAAGTGAGAAAAAACTTCAGTTTTATGGCATGAAGTTTAACTGAATTTATTTATTACTTTTGGTCGCTTTTGAAGAGTCTATATGTTGGAAAAGTTTGTATCTCAGAATTCTAATTTCACTTGAATAGTATCCATCACTTGTTTCCTCATCTTATTCTTATGAGATGAGATTTAATCCATGAACAGGATGGATTGTCAGCGCACTACTTGCTGGTGCTACTGTTGGTTCATTTACTGGTGGATCACTAGCTGACAAATTTGGCCGGACTAGGACTTTTCAGTTGGATGCAATCCCTCTAGCAATTGGAGGATTTCTTTGGTCTGTGATCATCCTTGAGTAGAAGGTTTGATCTTCTATGTATTTTTGCTATTGATGCTTAAATTATAATACATTTACAGTGCTACTGCTCAGAGTGTTCAGACAATGATCATTGGTCGCTTGCTAGCTGGTATAGGAATTGGTGTTGCATCTGCAATTGTACCACTATACATATCTGAGGTGACGCCTTTATAAATTATTTTAACCTTCATGATAACGTTTACATATTTTATATGAACCACATGGTGATTCCTTCTAATGGACAGATTTCTCCAACTGAAATTCGTGGTGCACTTGGATCTGCTAATCAACTTTTTATATGTATTGGGATTCTTGCAGCACTACTGGCTGGTTTGCCTCTGGCAGAAAATCCTATATGGTATTGACTGTTGAGTTATTTGACTTGTTTCACTTTACCCTCTTGTCAATCATTTATCTTCCAGAGTATAGATATTTGAAATGGAAATGACTATATTCAGTGTGAAAGTTCTAGAAGGGACAAGACTTCTTCTATTGTTAACATTCTATGAGAAAGAAAGTGGAGATATGTCTCTCATGAATGAGAAATAAATGAAGTGATAAAAAAATTTATCCTAGAAGATAATTTTGCAAAGTTATTCCTCCTATTACTAGTACTCCAAGAGAGTTTTGATGGACAGCCATGATCTCCAGAGTACCATCTGCAGCGTTATTACTTGGAGGATCTGGAATCATTTGTTGTTAGTTGGTTACTTATTAATTTGTTGCACACTTACACTTGTACTAACTTACTAAGGGTGGTAAAACGCTTGAAATTTGTTTTGTACTGTGAATACATATTCTGGTAATGGCCCGGTGAATGTATGTTTGTTAACTTGTATCCTCTTCTCCCTCATTTAATTTTATCAGGTGGCGGACAATGTTTGGAATTTCGGTAGTTCCATCTATTCTGTTTGCACTTGGAATGACAATTTCTCCAGAAAGTCCTAGGTGGCTTTTCCAGGTTGTCCCGCTATACTATGCTGTCTCAGCTTATGGAACAATACATTCACATAACAAGGAAATCAACTGTTGAAAAACAAGCAGCATGAATTATCACTCTTTTTTTTCTTATAAAAAGTTACTATTTTTAGACACGTCAATTGCTTTCTATTATTCATTTCACAAACCTACCCATTGGATTATGGTCTCTTATGATGACAACTTTGCAAATAAACTATTAGCTTTTTCAAAGAAAAGCCTATGATCTGTTTAAAATCTCTAAAAGACATCATTAAAGCTTTTAATCGGGTTGAAGTTCTAGAGCTATGGCAGTCATGTTGTAATGTCTCAACAGAACACATATACATGTATATGATATCTATTTTCTTTTGAATTATATCATTAAGAGTTGAGTGCAATTGCAATAATTTTATTGTATGTTTTCAGACAAAATGACAGTTTTATTTTACAGCAAGGGAAAATCTCTGAGGCTGAAAAGGCTGTCAGAACACTATATGGAAAAGAAAGAGTTGCTTTGGTTATGCATGAGTTGACAGCAGCAAGTCAAGGTTCTTCTGAACCCGAAGCAGGATGGCTTGATCTGTTCAGTAGCCGATATCGGAAAGGTATTCCAAACTTAACTCTAATTCCAGGTTTTGTGAAGAAGAGCTATTCATTGTGCCTTCATATATCTTTACTGAGAAATATATCTTAACAATCTCATTACAGTTTATGTTGTAGTTTTACTGCTCAGATATCAACTTTTTAGTTTGTTCCCGAGTTGATTAATGCTTAGTGAATTGATGTAGCACTTCTATAAATCATTCCTTGTTGCAGTTGTCAGTGTAGGGGGGACACTTTTCTTGTTGCAGCAGTTGGCTGGAATAAATGCTGTCGTCTATTATTCAACTTCTGTTTTCCGCAGTGCTGGAATTGATTCTGATGTTGCAGCAAGTGCATTGGTTGGTGCATCCAACGTTTTTGGTTAGTATTTTTCTTTCCAAAAATTGGATATCATGGAATTTTCTCAAACACGATATTGTTTCTTACTGATGTTTGATTTTGTTGCAGGCACAGCTGTTGCTTCATCCTTGATGGACAAACAAGGAAGGAAAAGTCTCCTTATTGCAAGCTTTAGTGGAATGGTAATAATTACTTTCAACTCATGTTTGTCTAAGGCCTTAAGCAAAATGATGGAGCTTTTGATTAGGGTTCTTTAGGTCTCAAATGCTTTTAACTTTATCTATAGATCTTGCCGAAGTGCACCAGTGATAGGCTTGCATTACTTTTGAAATTGCAGCTTTAATTGGCATCTATCTGTGTGATGATTGCTTGTAAATATCAGTTCTTGTTAAGCTTGGAATGGTATGCTGATTTTTGTTAATTTTAATACCTTTGAGGGAAGACCAAGTGCATCCAAAACTGGTTAGAGATGCATTAAGAGATCATAGTCATACCCTCGTTTGGTCACTACATGGGATTGGAAGGTTATGCAGATAGTATCATACCTCCCCTGTTTAAGATTGGGACCGTAAATTTTGAGAGCTCTAACCAAAGGAATCACTATTTTTTCAAGAAAAAATTATTCACCTCTATCTCTCTTATGGTTTTCTTTTTTTGGTTTCAATGTTGATTTTTTCTAATTAATTTTGAATGAATGAAAAGAAGTAAGCTGTTCAAGTTATATAAATGTTATGATGTTTAATTATTACTCCGTCACCTCTTAGTTTTCTTCATTGGGTGTCTTATATGTAACTCATAAAATAACCAGTGATAATTCTTAGCAAACTAATTTAAAACTCTTCCCTTTTAGATGAGATGATATCTCTTTCTATTTTTCTTTCAGAATGAAAACAATTTTTTATCTCAACAACTTCACTTTGTTTCATGTGTGATATAACCTATTCATTTTCTAAAACTTCCAGTATTTTTGTGTCTTCATAGGCTGCTTCTATGTTGCTTCTTTTTGTGTCTTTTACTTGGAAGGTCCTTGCACCATACTCTGGCACCCTTGCAGTCTTTGGCACTGTTCTGTAAGTCATTTTATTTTGTCAGTAAAAGTTATTTTGTCAGTAAGTCTGTGTTATGTGTTTTTCATTTCTCTTTTGACTCTGGTCTATGAATTTTCAACAGCTATGTTTTATCCTTCTCTCTTGGTGCTGGTCCTGTGCCTGCCCTCCTTCTACCAGAGATATTTGCATCTAGAATCAGAGCAAAAGCAGTTTCTTTGTCATTAGGCACGCATTGGGTAAGTTACTTCACTGTGGAATCTAATGTCACCTGTAATTCCTACCTTTATGTTGCTGTAAATTATGCTAACGATGAAATGAGAAATTAATATTTCATTTGATTATTCTTACAGATCACCAACTTTGTCATCGGGCTCTATTTCTTGAGTGTAGTGAACAAGATTGGCATTGGCATCGTGTACTTGGGATTCTCAATAGTTTGTCTTCTTACAGTCCTGTACATAGCTGGTAATGTTGTGGAAACCAAGGGTCGATCACTGGAAGAAATAGAACGTGCACTTAGTCCTGCTACTCAAAATAATTCAGAAATGCACGCAGTCTAATTAATTCTAGTCCTGCTCTTAGAATTCTTGTTCCTTATATACTAATTTTTTTTACACTAGATGTGGCCATTAGTTTTATCTTACATGTCAATCCTTTTTTATTTTGTTGCTTATTAAGTTACTCTGCTGGTTACTATTATTTTACTAAATCTTTCAATAGGTGCTTTTAATGTAAAACTTTTTCAATGGGGGCCTTTATACTTCTACAAAATTTTGAATAAAGATCACATAGTTTAACTAAGTTTTTAGTTAGATCCTTATTAATTCCAAAATATAATTTATACTATTTTTATCTGTCATTTTAAAAAAAATATTTTTTATATGTATACAAAGAGTTGTGAATTTAAATTATCTACATTATTTTAGATAAAGAGATCATTTAAGCTTGTGTAATCTTACATAGTTAATATTTTGTGTGGTTACAGGTTAACATAAAAAAGATAGATATTTTGGACATGTTTTAAAAATTTAACATGATTTTTTAATTTGTTTAAAAATAATATTTCAATTTTTAATGAAAATATTTTTATGATTTTAGTTTTAAAGACTCATATCATTATCTCGAAATATTTCTGTGCATCTTTTGATTAAAAATAACACTTGGTAAAAATCTCCCCAATCAAACTCGTTTTAAGAATTCCCTGTCATGTAGAACAATTGCATTAGTGAGTTGATGATAATGGAGTTAGTAAAAAATGCATAAATCTTTGAAGCAAATCATTTTTAATAGAGTTTAATTAAAATTGATTATTTTGGATTTGTCGAGCCATTCTTTCTCATCTCATGTGAAGATATTGCCATAAATTATTTTCTGAACATAGTACTAATCATGTGAAGAATGAAAGCAAAATCAAGGCATATTATTATGAAAGTACTGAGTAATAATAGATATTAGCTATTACACTATCTCCAAACAATAACCACTTTTTCAATTTCCGTCCACCTCAAGTGGCATGAACCCACTAGCTTACAAGAGACTAGGTATAAAACATAACAATGGAGGCATGCAAATGCACTTACTTGCCTAGATTTTCACAAGTAAATTATTTGACTCTGAATTTTTTAATGAAGTAAGGGGAAAGGGTTACATATATACAGAATTTGGTGCCATTTTTTTAAAATTACATCTATACAGATCTTGGTGCAATCTTTCTAATTAAATTAAACATAATTAGTTTGGTCAAAGATACAACACATCACCACTGATTTTAATAGTATCACCTCCAATATTAATACTGATTCTGATAATAAAATAAAAATATTACTTAAAGATAAATACAATCAAATAGATTCCTGTATTAGAAAAAGATTTAAATGAATCCTTCCCATTTTCCTTTGGAAATACAGATTAGAGAAATACCAATCTTTTCTACTTTTGTCTAAAAATATATTTTACGTAACGCTATCACAGGTGAAAAGCGTGTAAAGCTGAGTAGGAGAAAACGTAAGTAATAATATCATGATACCAATAATAACTGTAATTAATCAAGAAGCTAGCAAATGCCAAATCTTCTCTATCTACTTTTCCTTGAAACTTTATTCACGCAATGCATCAAATTAAGCCCAAAATCACTTCCTTATCATGTGACAAAAAGTATCTAAAATCCATGATTATACGGAAGAAACAAGCCAATAATTCTGCTTGATCAGAAAGGCACACCTCAAATTTTCAAGGTTTTTTTTTCTTATGGTTATTCTACATTCAATACACACGTTACACTCATTTACCAAGGAATACTTCAGGTAAGGCCTGATATTATTATTGGTTACAAATTGCTACTCGTTTACCAAGGAATACTTCAGGTAAGGCCTGATATTATTATTGGTTACAAATTGCTAAGTACATTCAGAACTGATACAGGAGTTGAGAAGTGCAATGAAATTCAAGGCTATGCACCCCATCTTGAGTTCAAACTTCAAGGTGTTCACAACCGTGGATAATTGAATGAAGAAGCTTATTCATCTCTTTTTTATTTAAATTTATGAGTAACTCGTTCATCTCTTGCTCTTTAATTTGAGAGTCTATTGATAATTGGTACGTGATGGAGCATAAACCATCTCAGCTAGTTGTTATGCCATTTATTGGTCTCTTATATAGGAACCTAAACAATGTGTGTCAGTTGATATTTTTTATAATTGGAATATCATTAGGAGTAGTTGCAACTCTATGCTTTCTGTATCCAGTGACCTCTCCAATCACAACATTGCCTGATTTGTTTCCACCACCATTACCATCGTCACATCCATTATCTTTAACTCTCCCACCACAATCACCATCACTGCCATTGGAAGTATTTTCTTATTCATCAGGAAATTACATAAACTCCAACTCTACCAGAGCTTGGTTGAATATATCTCTCATGCACAACATGACAGATCAAGAGTTATTCCTCAAAGCAACTACGGTTTCAAAGACTCGAGATTTTTCTAACAAGGCCGTTCCAAAAGTGGCTTTCATGTTTTTGGCAAAAGGTGCACTCCCTCTGGCACCCTTGTGGGAGAAATTCTTCAAAGGCCATGATGCTTTTTACTCCATTTACTTGCACCAACATCCTTCTTTCAATGAAACCGTGCCTCAAGATTCTGTGTTCTATGGAAGAAAAGTACCTAGCCAGGTTAGCTTGCTATTGTTAATCTTCATTTCTCTTCAACCCCGTCATCACAATTCCTGCATGAATACTGTGCATACAGGGATTGTTTGTTTTATAGTTGGAGAATCAATTTTTGCACTTTCTAATGCAAAATACACATTTCAATAAAAATATGTGGTTTAGATTAATTTATGTATATATGTCAAAAATAGTCAACGGTTTAATTTTAATTTCGTTAAAACCAAATTTACTTGTCACATAATCACGATCAATCAAAAGCTCAATATAATATTGAAATAGATTTATCATAAACTTTATTATCAATTGTGTATAAGCAAGAATTGCTCCTTAAGCAAATTTTCAATGGATGAATTTGAATGAAGCAATCTTTTCTATCAATGGCAGGCAGTGTTCTGGGGTACAACATCAATGATAGATGCTGAGAGACGTCTTCTGGCAAATGCACTCATGGACTTGTCCAATCAACGTTTTGTGCTGCTCTCAGAATCCTGCATTCCATTGTTTGGCTTCAGAACTATATTTGATTATCTCATGAACTCAAGCATGAGCTTCTTAGGCTCATTTGATGACCCAAGAAGAGATGCAAGAGGAAGATACAGCCCAAAAATGTGGCCTACAATTAACCTAACCAATTGGAGAAAAGGGTCTCAATGGTTTGAAGTGCATCGTGAACTTGCCATTCACATTGTATCTGACACCAAATATTATCCTATATTTCAGAAGTATTGTCATCCACCATGCTATGCAGATGAGCATTATTTACCAACTTTTGTGCATACGATGTACCCTCAATTGAACTCCAATCGTAGCCTTACTTTGGTTGATTGGTCAAGGCGTGGCCCTCATCCTAGAACATTTGGGTGGCATGATATTACAGATGAGTCTTTAAACCACGTTCGTTTTGGATCAACATGTGTTTATGATGGCAACCCCACCAACACGTGCTTTCTTTTTGCAAGAAAGTTTCATCCAAGCGCATTGAATCCTTTATTGCGAGTGTCTCCCTTGTTGTTTGGTGTTGATACTTAATTAGATGTTATATTCTTGTGATTGTTCATGTTTGTGTGTTTAGAAATTCATTGAGTTCCCAAATAAACGAATATTTATTTAGCATTTATCTTGGTTTTACCAATGTATAATTCTACTTTAATATTATGACATAGATCTGGGAATTATCAACATCATAGACTGGGTCATATATAGGTGGAAACTGGATATTTGTCACTATTAACTTACTTTCAAGGACTAACCAACCCTCTTGGGGATCTTGCACTGGAAGAACTGTTATGCCCCCACTGATTTAAAAGAAATTCCTATTAAGAGGTTCCATGCACTAATAATATGTAACTTCAAGGCTAATGTAATTTAGACAAGTCTTCCCTGTATGCTACTATTATCAAATTCCTATTATCCAATTATATATACTCGTTGTTGCTTCAGCCAGAACTATATTCATTAGTCTATATAGTCTATTGCATACTCAATGCATGCCAAGTGGCAATAGTCCTTATTAGTACAGTACAATAAGGAGACACGAAACATTAGTTATTCAGCATTCATCCTAAGCCTATATACATAGTAGTCCATCAACTCTAGACCTTAGATACGTATCAACTTCAAACTTGATCCTCTTTCATTTCCACCAGTGAAGGGAAGTCGAGTTTATTGCCATCGCAGTTATGCTGTGTGGAGTTCACTGTGCCCCCCCATTCTGGCTTCTTTGAACAATCGGTGTCTATATTCTTCTCAGCATTCTTGTATAGGGTGTATAAGATCATTTGAGAGACGCCAAATAGAAATCCTAGCACATTTGGCAGCTGATGATGCATCAAAACAACAGATTCATCAGTTTGCTTTCAAACATACAAGAGAAAATTAGGAGGTAGAAGTAGTACTACATGTGTGTGTGTGTGTTGTTCCTCACCATAATGTAGTAATCCTTGTCGAAGAGCCCATAGAAAAACCACATGGTGGCGCAGATGGTGAGAAAGAAGGACAATGAAAATGGCATGAACTCTACACTTTTGGTTTTTATGACCTTTCTCTGCAATTAATGTAGAAATTTAACTTTAAATATTTTTTTATTCATATATGCAAGAAGATGCTAATAAATGAAATTGGTCAACATGGAGATTGCGTGTCAAACTATGCAAGATCTATGTTATGTGAATATATAGTAGGTACCATGATGCTTAAAGGAGCAGCAAACACTGCAATGTTAAAAATAGCGCAAATCATTCCAACAGCATGAACACGGTTGATGCCCTTCACAGCAAAGTTTGTGATTAACATGGTCAAGCCAAAACCTCCAAGGTCAGGAATGAGTATCATAAACAAAGTGGAAATCTGCAATATCCATCAAAACATTTATAATCACACGGCAATTATCCTTGCTCATGATCTAGGAAATAATAAGCTTGCCATGGTATAGTTTATAACACTCTTAACAGCAATAAAGCTGGTTTTAAATTGAAGAAATTTGTGTGAGTTATTTAGGGAAGAAAATGGAAAATGAAATGAAGAAAGGAGTTGAAAAAGAAAATTTGTCATCTTGGTTTCACCTTCTGCTTCTTGGGAGCATATATAATGTACATTGTTAAGTATGCAACTTCTATAAAACATCCAATAGAGTTGATGGTGATAATTAAAGTGGCATTGGTCTTTATGAACCCATAATATAGCAGCAGCAATGCACTAAGAAGTGCAACCACATATGGGATTGATTGAAACCCCTCTGATGATTTGTTCTTGTAGATTGTATAGAAGGTTGGCCTGGGAAACACAAGAGAGATGGTTAAAAGTTTTTCACCATTTCAAGGTGTATGTAGTATTCGTGCTAAACTATGATACTATTTTTGTTTCAGATGGGACTTACAAGGGTGCTAAGAACACCATGAATGACACGATGTTACCTATAGATAAAGAAAACAGAGAGAATCAGAGAAGGACAAAGATAAAAATAGAATAAATTGTTAAAAATAAATAACAGTAGTAGGCAAAATTAAAAGATACTGCTATTACATGCATTACACTTATCGTGTGATGAAAACCTTAAATGCACTGCATGGTTAAGTTACAAAACAAAGAAGGCTAGTCTTTTTGTTAGACCCATTAGAATTAAAACTAAAAAAAAAGATTAATTAAACATAAATTGTTTTCATGATGACTTCGACATTGAAAATGGTGCAGTCAAATGGTTGGAATGAGAGTTGTACTAATAAATCCAATTAATACCTAGAAGACCAAAGATCAAAACCATCTCATGATCAGAAAATGAAAACATTTTTAGAGATAGAAGCGTTTAATTGCTAGCCTAGTCTTGTGGTAAGCTTTGCCTTTTGTGCTGTATGAGTAGGGCAATGCGTGCTTCAACCAAGCTTGCTTGGTTCCATATATATATTGGATAACTTCTGACATTGTTCGCCACGTGTAATCTTATTTTTCTCCCTTGGAATTCCCTCTTCTAAGAGAGCACTATCACTATACCAACCAAATATCTAAAACCATCAGGTGTATAACTTTTGACACCTTCCATCTCGAAAGATTATTAGGTATTCTAGATAATGTGTTTTTGAACAGTCATATTATACTATATAAATAAATTTTATAATTTATGAAAAAAATTATTGTGTCACTCATAGTGATGCTACATGATTTCAGACCCCTCAAAAATTGATCTTCATTTCTGTATGATTGTTTTTTCTATTGTTAAACATATAAAACTCCTTTTAAGAGCAATGATAAATTTGTCAGCCACATAAGTGAAGTTTTAAGAGGTTAAATAACCAGAAATTAAAGCATAGATATTAACTAATTGATATGCAATGTGAAAAAATTACTCTTTGTTTGCCTTATACATTGGGCATCCGTAACTGCTACATGATTGATAGGTAAAGACTGTGACTATGACATTATAAAGTTACATTATATCATTATCCATTTTGCAGCACAATTTCGTGCAATAACAGAACAATATGGACTAAATCTCTTACCTCTGAGGAGGGACAAATGAATATGTGGTCTTAAGGTAATGGTCCAAATATAATGACGCAATAGTGCACATAGTGCATCTACTTTATACCTAGTAATTGCTGTGGATTGGGAGCAAATTCATGCATGGTGGGATGTACTATATGTGTTTTTCAAAAATTGCATCAACCTTATTCTTCCTGTTTAAAATTTTAGCTCCTGAAGCCAAAAACAAACAAAATTTCTGACCCAGATGTTATATTTTAATATCAATTGAATAGAAAAGGCAATGGACACAGCTCGAGAGAGATTTTTAGTCCACAGATATCTTATCTTTTTCAATCATGATTGAGTTCAATAATAATAATCCAATTGTGTTTAAAATTTTGAAACCTTGCACAAAATTATTAGAAGGGATAAATTATGTTTTGAAATTTTAAAAAAAATGTTAAATTTCGTGTTACGAATAAGAAATTTTTTTGACTGATAGATAATACTGGCATTGTCATTGATAATAATGTGTAAACTACTGATTATCATTTGACTAAAATATAAGTTCAAGTATTGATGAGTAACTTATTCGAATCTACAACCAAAAAGTAGTTCTGCATAAAGATTATAATTTCTCAAATATTCAAAACTCGGATGATTACATCATTCATTTGCTAAGATAAATAAGAAGATTCTAAAGTTAATTAGGCTAAAAGTAAATATTTAAATATTTATCGTTGAAGCCTTCAGAAAATAGCCTCTTATATTGATATATCACAATTTTTAAAAATATATCAACAAATGATTAAATAAAACAAATATAAAAATGGGATAAAAAAAGTTATAGCTTATGACAACTATCTTACTTGCCCACCCTAAGATATGACGTTGCAAATCGTATATGTCCATCATTCAAATTTGGGACAAAGGATAAAATCTCTATATTTCATGATTTTTTTATTTTAATCTCTTTTATGTAGTTTATTAAGAGATTGATAAATTTTATATTTAAAATTAATATTTATTTAAAATAAAAATATAAATTGATATAAATTTAATATATTAATTATATATTTATCATTTTAAGTGATATATAATTATTTGAATTTAAAATTAAAAAATATATCATCCCTTCGTTTTATTTCAAAAACTTCTTTCCTAAACATATCCTAAAAAATTATCATACAATATTTTACATTAATACTAAACAAAAAATTTACAAAAAAATTATAAAAATAAAAAATGTCCAAAAGTACCAAAAAACACACACACACACACACACACATATATATATATATATATATATATATATATATATAATTATTTCATAATTATTTTTTGTTTTAGTTTATTTTATCAACATATATGGTCTTCACATAGATTATTGCATATTAATTTTTTAAAAGATCACATCAATGACAAAGATCAAAATAAAAAATTTACAAAAATATAAAGAAAACAAACCAAAAATAAATGTTTAAAAGGAAAAAAAAACTTAAATATAAAAAGAAATTTCATATTAAAACCTTTGATATAATCTATTAGTTAAATAATCTCACAATAATATGTCAACTGAGAATTAAGGAACAGAGGTTTTGAAACTTGGTAATTAAAATGGCATGTTTGAAGAAGCTTAATGGCATGGTGCAAGGCCAAAGTGGTACACCAAGCAGGGAACATGACCAAACGTCCCCACCCCTTACCATGGGATTCGTTCTGTCAAACATTAAAATTACTCCCAAGAAAACCAAAGTAAAAAAGATGACACTAACATTCCTAACATGGCAAATAGATTGGCTTCGTTCTTAGAGCGTTCTAAAATGTTTGGTTATTTCTGGTTCTACCATACAATTATTTGCACTTCCATTCATAATCGTGTCTTGCAAATTATGTGATCATATTTTGCTTTTGGGTTCGGCTTTTAGAGCTAGCTCTGTCAGAGGACACATAGCTTATCCTACCAACTCCAAAATATTGCCTGTTTTCTGTATATATTTATTTTCATTTTCTAATATTATTGTCAAATATGCATCCCATTTTTGTTTCATATATATTTTTAGTTCTGTTTATCAATGAAAGTAATAATGTTTTTGTTAGAGGAAGGTTAATAACACACTTTTTAACACAATATTAACTATTTATTAAAAATTATAAAAGTGTAAAAATAAATATTAAATTATATAAGTGAACAAAATAAGACTCAAATGTATAGATGAATAATGCTCAATGTGTAGTAACTATCCCACTCGTTCAAGAGTTTTCAAATTTAGGTATAATTTTAAGTTTATCACATGTCCTCCACATAAATTTTTTATTATTATTAATCTAAGTTAAAATTGTATGTGCACATATAACTTCATTATTCTTTTAGCTTAGTTTAAATTTAAAATATTGAAAATTAATATTTATCTAAATTAATTTATATCTCTAACGCAAGAAATACACTACTATCGTGGAAGAATCATTACTAAATATTTCAAGTGCTAGTTTAGGTAGAGCAAATTTAAGATTGTGCTTAAGTTCATGGCTTCTATAAACTCCTTTTAGATTTATAATTGAATTTATGATATAAATTCTCATGTAATAAGATTTTTTTTATAAAATACTCAATTAAATTATGTATTCAAACACATATAAAAACATATATTTGAAAATAAGCTATTCTATAATGTTTGTGATAGAATACAATGGCTCTAAAACATAGAAGACATAAAGCTTTACCAAAGGCGTTGTAAAAGGAAGATAAAAGTTAAGCTTTGATATTAGTTGATGTAATTTTTAAAGGTAAATTTTACGGTACTTCATAAAATAAAGAATATTCTATATTTTCTTATGTAATGAGATTAGTGGTTTATTTAAAAAAATATAAATATTTTTAATTTTTAAAATATTAAAAAAATCATACTTATTAATTTAGAGAAAGTATAACAATATTTTTTCAATTTTAGGAGTGTTATAACAAACGCCAATTTTTAACTCTAAGATATTCACTTTAATAAGGTTTGGCCATCTTCACTTTAAATTTTCATGAGACTCACAAAATGTATGTATCTTTATTTTATTTTTTTATTACACTAATTTAGTAATTAAAGAGTTTTTATTTTATTTTAATAGGGTATTCCCTTAAAGTAAACTTAGAGTAGTATTCCAACATAGGTACTCCTTAACACACAAAATAAAAAAATAATTATTATTTAAAAACCTGTCAACTATTATAAAGAAAGTCTATTTATAAGCTAAATAAAACTAAAAATAATAAAACTTAAGATAATTTAAATAACTAATATATATATATAATTATCCTAAATAAAAAACTGAATTAAAAATCAAAATAAAATAATTTAATTTGCATCACAAATCTATATATTATACCTTGTTTGATGAAAGTAAGAAAATGAAGAAAAAAAATGTAAAAAATTGTCAACATTTTTTATTTAAAAATAAGAAAAAATATTTAATTTCTTTTTTTTTTAATATGAAAAAAAAAGAAGCAGAAGAAAGTGACAGTATTTATCATTGATAAAATAAATTTATCTTTGTATTAAAGGGACAACTTTAGAATGAAGCATTGTTTTCATGCTAAGGTTAGAAATCTCAAAGAGCATAAGAAAAATTTATGGTGAAATATCTTAGGTGAAAATTGTTCTCTCTATTTATATGGAATATGGAATATTTTTTGAATTTTTGGGAGAAATGTCATGCTAATCTTGTTTGTAAAGAATGGGTAAATTATTTAATAATACCATCATAATATTTTACCAAACAATGAGTAAAATATTTAAAAAATGCCATTAACATTACACTGAAAAGTATTTTCTTATAATTTTTTTGTAAAAGTAAAACATTATTTATGCTTTATTTAAATGTGAAGATTTTAAAATAAAAAAAATGAAAAATAATAATTTAAGGGACAAAATATAATATTCTCTAATTGATGATTTATCTTTTATTTTAAGGTGGGACTTATAAAAAAAATTTACGCCACCAACACCATGAAAATGGGAGTAGGGACGTCACATGGGGTTCGTTCTTTTACTATATTTTAAAAATATTTTAAAAATTATATAAAGTATAAAAATAATTATTAAAATTATAAATTTTACATGATTTATTTATTTAAATAAGGAAAAAATTAATTTCTTATTTTAATCATTTAAATAACATAGTTTTATTTTTTCATCCATGTATTTTTTTTTATTTCATTTCTCTTTTCATCTAAACGGAAATGTAAGAAGGGATTATAATATTTTTACAATAAATTTTCATAACATTATTATTTTTTTATCTCCCTAATATTATAACACTTATTCTATATTTTTATGT